AGTCTTTTTATACCCTGTTTGCTTAATACATTTTGGTTACCATAACAATCTCGGAACTGCCTTAGTTATCGTATCGAGTACCAGTATCGAGTATATAAAGTATAAGCAAATTAATGGGTATATCCCCATAGAATAGTTAATAATATAGGGCAAGTCGAACAAATGCTCCAACGACGAATGTTTGTAGAAAACAGCTCAGCGCTGGGTATCTCTTAGTTGAGCACTGCCGACTTGCGTTCACGTTTTGTTTGTCTGTGCGTGTGTGAGAGTTATCTGACGAAGCTGCCAGTAAACCGGAAGTTGTAATTAATGTGCGCCTTGGGGGCGTTTACTGCCAAGCTCTCCGAGTCCTTTGAGTCGGCTCTTCATCAGTGTGTGTGGGTGTGAGTGGGCGTGTGTGAGTGCTTGTATTAATAGCCATGGCAGCGCTTTGTCAGGCAAACGACTGGCATTGACGATACCTGAACATGGTTCGCACTGATAATGAATCAATAGGGCAAACTTGACTGCCTAAGGATAACTCACACTCTTCAACGTGATGAAGATGAGAGCTGCCTGTATCGGTGTATGTGTGGGTAAGTGTGTTGCTGATATTGCAATAACAGGAAATACTGCACGTTTGTCACACCTTAAACATATAGGTATCGCGTATTTATTTGCTTCTTTCCGTTGTGATCCCTAGGCAAGCTTTGTTGCAGTTGAAGCTTAATTATGGAATATCTAGTTACTTCAAAAGATGTTTAGTTAGTACAGATATCGCATAACAATGAGTAGTTACATTTGTTGGATTATAAATATCCAAAGTACATTTATCCTCTATATCAAAGCTTTTAAGTTCCCATTTTAGATAGTTATCAAATCAAAATACTATTTTTTTTAAAAAAAATCCTACGAATTGGTTCTTAATCGTCTGAGCTCTAAATATGTACAAATTTAAACTAAGTTATTTATTTCGTAAACAATTTTAATTCGTTGGAAATAGCAGTCCGGCAACACCAACTGCATAATAGCCAATCACGATCTTCAAAAAGTATGCAGTACATAACAGTTTTATACGTACAGATGTATGGACAAAAAGACGAAAATTGCAGAAAATTCAAATACTCTTTTCATATCATGAACCAATGCAACAAGTTGTGAATCCATTTGTATTTTAAGACCTTTCAACACTTGATTTCGGTTTAGAAATTGTAGGACTTTTCCATTAATGTGCTAAGTTATATTTATGTATTATACTAAATAAAATATAAAATATACTACTACTACAACTTTTGTTATTTCTCCATTATATGTTTTTTTCAATTCATAGCTATACATAATTTACTTTTCGTATTTTTTATATTTACCTAAGCTTTGGCTGATTCCTCCTAACTGTTGGTATATATGTGTATTTGCCCTTATGCGCTGCCCTGCCCTGTTTGTGCAGTGTGTTCATTCGCACGTGATTGTGCATTGGGAGTCAAAGATGACTCAAGACGAAAATAAAGATGAAGGGAAGATGAATCATTTAATCATACTAAGTACATCTGGCAGTGGATTACAGGGTTTCGCTGATTAATTTCTGCAGGTGTTTTAATTTGGAATTATAGTTTACTACTCTTTTGCCTATTTTGAACGCCAAGCCAGAGACTTGTAAAGCATTGATTCTGTAATATGAATGCGACCGAATTCTTAGTTGATTTAATATTGATTTTAATATATTCCCAAAAATCTCGAGTAAATATCTATTTATTGCTTTAAAAAAAAGGGTTCGTATGGTCTCATTTTTCCTCTGCTTTGCTTGACTAAAACTTTGCAAAATATTTGTCAACTTGTCTGCATTGGAATCTGTGAGCGCTGTGCAATAAGTTCAAAGTTATGCCATGAAGTTGACTTCAGTTTGCGATTCTGTACTTCTGCCAGGCTCCGCTCCAAGCTGTGGTGTGCTTGTGTGTGTGTGGCAAGGGTATTGGCATTGGCAATGTCAACGACATTGTTCTGTTAACTAGGCGGGAAGAGGGGTAAAGGTCAAATGGCTCTTCATTGATAGCCTAAGTCGTTCACTTGCTGCGTCTTATTGTTAGTGCCGCCTGACTGGAAACGCCCAATAGCTTCGCCCGCTCCCGCCGCCGCCCTCATTCAGCTTAGCCCCGTGACCGCAGGGCTAAATTGCTATCGGAACGCCCTCAATGTATGCAGTAAATTGCTTGCTTGCCTTCAATACACACGGACACAATCACAAACACACACACACACCCACACCTTGAAGCTCAGCTACTGCTTGATGTGAAGCATAAGCGCCTAATTCTCAAAACACAGTAGAAAACAACAAAACAGTTCACACCTGATCGAATTACCTATACTCTAAATAAAATAAATATAAATAAATGCGTATAACATTTATAAACGACATTCAACTACTAACTAACTAAATTTTTACTGTCTGTGATAAGAAACTATCCATATGGAAATAGTAATTAATCATTTCAATATTCTTAAAATACGAATCCGAAATAATGAAAAAAAAACTATATTTTTAAGGAAATGTTCAAAAGATCTAAACGGAAAGTCTGCTCGTCTATATGCTCAATACTCTATATACTCTATAAATAATGATAGAGAGATATATGAACCATGCACTGGGCTATTAGCCAATGATTACTCCATAATCTAAAAGTAATATACCCTTTTGATCAATATGGTAACTTGGACTGTGCGCGAACCTTTCTACAGGGCGGGGCACTGTGAACGATTTGTCGAAGACCAAATCGAAATGACATTATGGTTAAGTGAAAAGGCAAAGCCCGTTTGCTAAAGGCAAAACAAATGGCGCACAATTGACTTGGCCAATAAACCATAAAACCGTTAAATTCACAAAATCAATAACTTGGCCTCTATTTGAAGCATTTGGTAACTTGCCACATTCCCATGCCTCGCGTGCTACAAGCCGCATGCCACTTGCCCGAAAATAAAGGACGACAAATTGCTGCGAGGTCTCGGTCCGCACATTAAACAACTTTGCAATTTGTGTCCATTATTTTGAGCTGCCTCCAAGTCACTTTTCGCTGCGTGGGCGGCGTGTGGAGCGGCAGGAGACGTTTACAAAAATGTTGTCACCTGCTTTGGCACTGAAATGTTTCACAAGTTGCTTTTAAGCCATCTCCCGCCTCCCGCCCACTCATTGTGCGTGTGTAATTGTGTGTGCGTGTGCTCGTAATTGTGTCAAGGAGTTCATTCAAAGACATTAGTGACAGCATCGCGCCTAATTGTCGTCTCTGTATATGTATGTGATTGTACCAATGTATTGAACTATGGAATGAATTAGCAGATTTTTAAGTCTGAGAACTGTTTAAATAAAATGCGCATCTTAAGCTCTATGAAACCAGTAGTAAGATTGTAAGGAAGAATAAGTTTTTATATAATATTTCCTACAATTTAACCTCATGTTCTATTGACTCATGCATCATCTATAAAGTATTCGATATTCCATCAGATTGTTAGTTTGCTTTCTTATCCAATATTTTCCGCACACATCAAAATTCCATCTCAGTTTTTCTATAAAAATATTGACTTTAACATGTTACTTTAACATTATGTCCACATAAGACTTAAGCAAAATGAAGAATGCGTGCACTTTACTAGAATATTACTATATTTAATAGCCTCGCATATAATATAAATGTGAGTATCAACAAATGCTTACATAAATCATTCTGTTGCATAATTTAGCTTGATAGCATATTTATTTTACTTCAACATTCCCGTTACACGAACTTGCAGCTAAATGAAGCACATTTAACGAAGATCAGCTTAATAACTATTAAGACAACATTTAGCTGTTAAAACACAGATTAATGTGGAATGACTCAAAATGGTTCTATTGCATCCATTGTAGCTGCGAGTCTCATCATTTGTCGCTTGTGTCATGAGAGCAGCTGTTAATGATACAGCGCGTCTTTTATGCTCGGAACTTACTTTACCTTGAGCTGTCTCTTGTTTGGCTGTTTCTTGGTGTCATTTGGATGGTTGAAGTGTTAGTGGGCCATTTTAAGGAAATGTCGCACTTTAAAAACAAATTGCCAACTCTTATATGCGTTCAGGGATTCGCTTAAAGCATTCAAGTGCCGTCTGCAGCGAACAGTTCTTAAATTGTGGTTTAAGCTCCCCAAGTGGACTATTTGGCTTGTTTGGTAAACATTTGTTTGGACATGTGAGAGAGCTCAGTCACTTTGAATTGCACATTGATTTTGCTCTTAACGTTCAATTAACATATTGACAAACAAAATGGTCAAATGGTCGATTTACCATGTGCTGTTAAGCATTTAGCACATGTTATGTATACGACACGTTGTGTCAACATTGAAAACATTATTTATACACTCTCATATATAGAAAAACAAACTTCATAAATATTTAGTGCGACGAAGCACTATAAATTATCTGCCAAAATTACTTAACGTGCATACGAAGAGTTATTTAGTCCTGATTAAAGGTCAATTAAAGACTTGCTCTCTGATAATGTGTTGCCACAGAACTGGCTGTTAACACTTTAGTTGCCTTGAAAGAGAAACCGCCTTAAGGCCAAGAAGAGGTCGACTCGAATAATCCTCTTAGGCTTTGTGAGCAGCTCGGTTCGTGACATCAGAAAAATGATTCCACATGTGACTGAGCACGTGCTTGGAAGAAAACAAGACTCAAAGCATCATGCCTATATGAGAGAAACGAAATGGGAATGCGAAACGAAATGGAAAAGGGAATGAGTGTCAGGTCTTGGATTGAGGATGCCAGCTGATAAATGCGCTAAAATCAATCAGGGTAGTCGAAAAGCCAACCTCCATGAGATGTGGCTTGTGTACGTGAAAATTGCATTTCATTGCCCAGGTGGAAAGCACGCCACGCGGGGGTTCGTCACCATTTGTGTAGCTGTTGCATGTGACAGTTGTGTTATGTTTATTAAAAAGTTTTGTCGATACGGCATGACAGCGTCTGTCACTTACCCACTTACTCAGGGTCCCACTTACTCTGTCACGCTGTCTCTTGCTCAGTAGTCAATCAATCGAAAATGTTGCGGGCTGTCTTCGTTAGATGTGTGATTAGGTTTTGTTACACAAACTTGTTAAAAAGTCATCACCAGATCAAGCTTGCCATCCATATGTGTGTGTTTGCGTGTAGTGGTCATTGTTGCACGCGTATATCAATTAAAAGTTTTGCCCAACGTGATAAATGAAGCAACACAGCGTCTGCTTAGGCCAAAAAAAAATTTGTGCTGTGCTGTGTTATTTGTAATAGAATGTGGAACGTGTTTGTTACTTGGACAAATTCAAAGTATAACTAGAACAAGTTCTAATATTGAATTGTTCTGTGAGTTGTTTATCAGTGATATTGTTAATTTATGGCTAAAAGAGCGCAACACAAGAGGGAAAAGTATTCTTAAATAGGCGCTGTTTCTCTGCAGTTGTATTTTCTTCATAGCATTCATTCACGAACTGAAAGATTCTATTGCTATTGTGCTATATTCGTATTACTGTCCGTTCATCTGTCCATCTGCCTTACTTGTCTTTTGTAGTCACTCGCTGGCTAATGCGACGGCTTAGATTGACTAGGTTTTATTTCTTGTGCTTTGCGTCCACCTCCCACCCCTAGATCGGAAAAGATTTTCTCTGTTTTCCTCCCATACCCATATCTTCTTATCCTCTTGCGCAAGGATGTCGACGAATATCATTGCTGCTATCACCCTCAGCACCTCCAGACAGTCTGCTTTTCTTTGCATCTTTTGTCCCAACCCACCTATTAGCGTAGAGTTAAATTGCATAATTGCAATTTGACTCGGCCATCTCTGATTACCCTCTTTGATGTTCCGATTTTCATCTCTGCTCAATACCATTAAATATGAGGGAAAATGCTCTGCTCATTTTTTTTATATTTGTCAAGCTGCTGCTACTTCATCTTAAGTTTTTATCTTTGGTTTTACGTTCAGCGAGAAAGTCAACTTTTATGATTGAGTTTTTTTTATCAATGCTTCGAGCATTTTATTATGGATATTCCTGCTGCCAAGCGGTTGGAAATTTTTTTATTTATTTGTTGGCGTTGCCGACAATTTTGTTCGTGACATTTTTAAAATCACGTTCAACTACAAGACGAGCTCAACGATATATTTTGTTGACTATATGGGTGACAAGCTATGTGCGCATATTTATAACGATCTGGCTAAATGACGTGCACACGGTGGTTACTGCAATGCGGTTGTCAGGTTTGAGCTTGGTGATTCCAAACGGAATGCCACCGGTACACAGTATAACTTACCTTTTGGGCGAACGTTGTCGAGTAGGCAACAACATTTTCCACTTTTACTTTAAACGAAATGGAATCAAAATGAGCGACGGTCAACAATGACGATAGCAACAAAGTAATCGACGTCGAGCAATTCGAATGGATTAAAGTAATGCCCTGCATGAAAGCGTATTATGTTGTGATAATAAAGTCGGCTCTCCACAACAAAGGAATGTGTCTCCCCTTTAATGCCGTATTCATATTAATTCGCATTTCATACAGAAAAATCGATACAATAATTTTCTATAAGTCGGAACGTTAACTATCCTAATCTAACAAGCTTTCTTTATCAGTTATCAATTAACATAATTTTCATTATTTTTTATTTTAGTATTATTTTGTATTATTTTTGACAATGTTCATTTATAATATAATTTATTCTTGTCTTTTTATTTGGGCTTTGTTGATTTTGGTCATAATTACATTTATGATGAAAAGACGCAGATGAGAATATGATCTTATGATCTGAAACCCTAAAATATTGTTCTTATATATAATATATAATAAAAATATTTCGGACTATTGTTTTCTTGAATTCAAATCACATTTCTGTACTTAGGGTATACAAACTTTACTATAGAGCAGCAATATAACTTTCATTTCTTGATATTATTTTATTATTGTAATTTCTTTTCAATTAACAATGCGAACGACATGAAGCGTAATTGGTAAAAGCAAAAGTAACGAGCGCCATGTTGAGCTCGGGCTCCATAATGCAGATATATGTATAGATAGTGATACCCCGAACCCCTCGTACCACTGTTTGGTGGAAAATGGAAAATGGCAGCTTGGCAAATTGCTGCCCGTATTTAATAAATACAAGTGATAATGAAAAATGAGACAAAGATACTAATTGTGTTTCATTTCTTTTGCTGTGCAGATTTTTGCTTGATACTGAAATGGTGGGTTTGGGGTGTTCTGGGGGAAAGGGGTCTTTGAGCACTTGCAGGTTGGCTTTTGTCTGCTGATGAAACTGGAACGATTTATGCTATTCAATATAGCGTTTGCCGGCCGGTCGGTCCGCCGCTGCTTGAGATATTATTTGTGACATTCTTTTTTGTTGGTTTGTGCTTTCGCTCGCATTTTTTATCGCCTCATCACGAGGTGTCGACAGTCGACGACATCTTTTCATTTCTTTTCATTGCTCGCACAATTTCCGCAACGCCATTTTACAATTGTCCATAGCCGGGTCTTGCTTGATTCTTGACCAGCTACTGCCGATCTTTCTCTCTCTCTCTCTCTTTATTTCTCGTTCTCCTTCTCGCTCTCAGCGAGCATTTTACAGCTGTCGCTGCTGTTGACACAAATCATTCGCTGGAAGTGTTTCCCCTGCCACTTGCCTTCTTTCCGCTCTGGGCTGAGCTCCGTGACCAAATGTATCTAGCACTCGTATCGCTTACACTTAGGTTCAGCACAAAGGCATTTACTACAACCAAATGGCAAAATGTTAGTTTACTTCCAAGTTTTATTTGTATAGCTTTAACTGTTAGACAGCTTAATATAAATAAATATAAAATTTAACGACATTTATTTTATAAATCTTTGACTTATACCAACTTCGTATAGCTACTTCATTTAGTTTCTAATCATAGACTAAAAGTTGAATAAAAGAACACATTCGTTTTTATGAATGCCTTTAATTAAAATATATTTATATTTAATTTATTTATTTTCTAGCTATTTAAAATTTTGCCAATACACATTACAAAATTCTTTTGTGACCAAAGAACGTTTTTTACATTTTATTGGCCGCTTTATCTGCAGCTTGTGCTAGTCAAGAAACTGTTCACACATTTTTATAAATTTCTGAATGCCAGCAAAACGAAAGACAAGACAAAGTACAAGCCAAATTATTTTCGAAACATTTCAAATATGCTGGAGCAACATAAGCTACAAAAAAACTTTATCAACATTTTCGCACTTGTCTTCTTGTCCCACTCCAAACAAAGACAAATTCAAAAAGCACTGGGCAAAAAATGTAATTCAAAACATTTTTCAAATGCTCCGGTTTTTCATCGCTCTTTCTCTCTCTTTCTCTATCTATAAATGCATGTGTGTAAAGTATCTCTCTGTGTGTGTGTAGTAAGTGCATGTGTGTAAAGTTGTTTATAAAACTTTTGCACCGCAAACGAAGAAAAAAACTAAAAATATATATAAAGCAGAGGAGAGAACTTGACCATGTCGTTGCCAGTTGGCAGCAGTTGCCGTTGTTTGCCAAGCCGTTACTTAGCTGTGCCTCCTGCCTCGTCATCGTCATCGTCATCGTCATCGTTATCGTCATTGTGTTCATCGTGTTCATCATCGTCTTCGGCAGCTACTGCTCCTTAACGGCGTCGCCTAATGGACATCGCTCTGTTTGCGCTGAGCTTGTCGTGCCGCATTTATTAATGCCACCTCTCTCTTGGCACTCCAACTGCAGTTCCGACTTCAACTTGGCCAGAATGGAGTTGCGCAAGCAAACAGTCACATTGTTGTTTTGACTAGTTGTCACTCACTGGCTTTCCGTGTGGATTCATCCGGGCGTTGACATATGTATCTCTATCGATATCTATGCAGGCCACAAACGCAAAACTCGGTATAAAAATGCATTTGATTAAGGCATAGAAATAATCAACAGCAAACTAAATTCATTGCAAATTAATACAATTTCTGTCAAGGTAAACATTTGAGAAATAAGTTTTGTGGCCGAACCACAGCTAGCTTGGTAAGCATTTAATATGGTTAAGACAACCGTTACCAAGTCTCGCCACCTAGATTTATTAAAGACATTGGACTTGTTAAATCGCTTTCAGTTAAAAGTCTAATTCAAGCTGATTTAAATATATATATTATAATTAATTAATATATATAATAATTAATAATTTAAATACTAAACTTAGCTTTACTTTGTATATATTTATAGAGCCAAAATTCAACCGTAAGCTCGAACCATAACAACTGTGGCAGACTCAAGCAGCTTAGTCTGGCTAGATTACCATACTTATGATTCCCAATTCTAAGGCAGCCGCTTAAGAGCTTTTGGCCAATTACCTGAAAGCGCTTTGCAACATTAAAACTCAAAGCTGGCAGCATTAAAGCAGCTTTAGTGGAGCTTAAGTCTTTCACTGAATGCCTTTTAGCTACTTTTGGTTAAATAATTGAAAATGCTTCCCAGCACTGGAGCTTTTTTTTTGATAATGGTGGCAGCGACCAATGTTATTTACAATATGATCAACCATGAGCTTTAATAACTGTAAAGAGAGGCATGCAGCTTGTTGTCCTTGATCTACTGAGCCAATTCAGAATTAAATTTGATACCAATTTGGCGTTTGGCTCTGAGCTAGTTTGTTTTAAGCTAACTGTAAAATGCAGACAGTTTGATCTGTTATACTGGTTACTCTGATTCATTTCATTGATTTTTCGCTGAACTAGTTTTTCTGCCGTCCTGCTTCAACTTGTGCAATAGCTGCCGAAGTCCAAATCCGAAATTGTGTCATAACATTGCAAGCAAGCTGCTCAACTTGGCCTGAGCAACTTTGCTGCTGAACCTGAACCTATCCCACCGTGTGGCGGCTTGTGATCTCAGTTGTAGTCACAGCCACAGTCTGGGACTTTAGAGACGCAGAGACCTGTTTTGCAACTGCAAAAGGCAATGCCAATGCAGATGCAGCTGATATGTTGACTTATGGGCCATCCAGGCACGGCCCGACTGAGCTTATCCAGACGAGCTTGTTTGCAAAACTGGGTCAACGTTGCGGAATGTGATTTGTGGCCAACTCTTACGATAGCAAAATGTGCACGACTCAACTCCAATTCACCTCCCTCTCTCTATCTCTCTTTCTTTGCAGCGAATGTGTTTCAATGATGTTACTGCCTTCGGGGCGTTCGAATAGTGATGTATATCCGTTGCAAAATGTCAACACAACAGCAGCCTCAGCGTCCAGCGTAGGCGGATCCAAACCACTGCTACTGACAAGAACATCATCGCCGCAGTTGACGACTCTGCAAACGTTAAATGGCGGCGGCGCCAACGCCCACACAGCACTTCGTTCCAACTCCTCAGCTGCCTTTGCCGCGACATTAACACAAGAAACGGCCGGAAGTCTGTCGGGGACCGGAACACAGGCGACAGCAACGACGTCAGCAACAACGTCGACGACGACGACAACAACGGCAATCGCAGCGACAGCAACAACAACGGCTAATGTGAACGCTGTTCACACAGGCTTCGGAACTGGCGCCATCTATGGCCCAATTTTGGGACCAAATCAAGCGGGAAACGCACCCATCGGAAATTGGGGTGAAATTGATCGCCACTTGGACGCAGTCCAGGATAAACTCAAAGCTGGCTGGACAGTGCACGTGGCCAAGGATGGCAGACTCTATTACTGCAAGTAAGTAAAGTATATACGTACCTGCATATATACGTAGATATTGATTAATATATTTTAATAAATTTACAGAGGAATTTATACAAAATGCAAAATATGTATTTCGAATGATATATATATAACATATATATATATGTATAGATATAGATATATATATATATATATGTAATATTTCTATGCATGATTGTAAAATTAAATATATTAGATGATATAAATTTACATTAAATTACTAATGAATAGTCAGCTTTAGCTGTAGTTTTGTTCGTTTCAAGTAGTTGACCATAAAGGACGCTATCGATTCATTTTATATTCATATTTCTTTATAATTTGATTTAAACATTATGCAAAACTTTGAAGATATCAAACTGCTCCAGAAATTTTATGCTGATATATAGGTTAATTAAATTTTGCATTGTGTTTTAACTTAATTATCGTCGGCTTTTTGGCAATTATTATACCCTTACGAAATGATGACATCAGTGACTTATGACGAAATTTGCAATTCATCAGTTCAGGCTATTTATGAATATCTTATTAAAGTAAATTATTCAAGAAAAACAAATTTATAGTTTTATGCTTAACTCATTTAACTATTAATTGTAGATTTCGTTACTTCCAACCAAAATAATATTCAGAATTAATTATTAAAATATAAATAAACCACTTCAGTTATCTGTATTATTTCATCTGGATAAGCATTTAATAAATAAAATGTAAATTAAAATATAATTCATTATTAATATCCAGACAAAAAAATGAAATATATATTACAAAGTAATAAAAAAAATTAAATGAAAATGATGTAATATTTTAATATGTAGATATCTCTGTATTGCTTGTAGAGTATTAATAAGTCAAACACCCACGCGCACGCCCTTTGTTTCAGCCGAGTGTATCCTTTTCAAAGGATCGGGTCGGACTGTCGGGCTGACTGAATGCCTGGCTGCTGCACATAAATTGATTATGCACGAAATTCTATTAAATAATTTTACACTTTGTTGCACATCAAATGCCATAAGAGCTCTGGCCATGGATGAGTATGGGACATGAGGCGGGAGGGCATGGAAATGGCAGATGGGTGGGTAGCTGGGCGACAGTCTGCCTGTCTGAATGAATGAACATTGGTTGGGCTTGGCATCGGTTCCACCAGCTACTGGGGTAAACAGCTCTCGGCTCTCAGCTCTCAGCTCTCAGCTGTCGTACAAAGTGCAAAACTAATTATCACAATTGTATGGCACCCAGGAAATGAAGAAAGACAGCAGCGGAAGCCACCAAGGTGGCCTGACTTGGGTGCACGATTATGTCATGGACATGGACATAGGGTAGGGACTGTCCTGAGTTAGCCCGATTATGGCTGCACTTTATTGCATAGCCGAGCAAATAACCCAATTAGGTTTGATTAATCTCAATTGAAATGCATTTTGCCCGCCAGCACACAAAAATGGGGCCTTGGTCCGTTGGAGGGGTTGAGCGCTTGGCTACAAGTTCAGGGTTATGTCTTAGCTTAAAGCTTTTAGAGAGAAAGCAATTCATTTGTAAGCGTTACTCACAGCTCTGGAAATGCCATAGAGAAGCGATATTATAAATACATTAAGTAAAAAATTAAGTAAAACAAACGTGCAATTAGCTCAATCTCAGATTTTATTATATATTATTAGTATTATATAGTATTGGCTATTCTTATTTATATACTGCTCAATAGTTATTAATTGACATTTATCTTGTTCTTTTATCTTAATATTTATAGTCACTTAACGCAATCATCTGGTTGGCTGCCAGCTTGCGAGGATTGGAGCAAGCATGAGGAGCTCTCATATGGCTGGGAGCGTGCCATAGATTCCAAGGGCCGTTCCTATTATATCAAGTAACTTGACCCCATCCCAGTAGAGTTAAACCGTCATTAAAATACCCTTAACTTTGTATAGCCATTTGAATAAGACGACCACGTATGAGGCGCCTGAATGCATACGCTGGGACGAGCATCCGCCGGAGCCGCGTCTCGTTCTGTTGCAGCGCAGCGCCAGCCTAGGCTTTGGCTTTGTGGCGGGCAGCGAGCGTCCGGTTATTGTACGCTTTGTTACCGAAGGCGGGCCTAGTATAGGAAAACTGCAGCCTGGAGATCAGATACTGTCCGTAAACGGCGAGGATGTTAAGGATGCACCGCGGGACCATGTCATACAATTGGTGCGCGCATGTGAGACGCAGGTGTCGCTGCTCGTCTGTCAGCCCATGGCACACTGCGTGCTACCTGGTCGCAAGTCGACGCTGCTCTCGGCCGGCAAACGGGCCAAGCTGCGCACTCGTCCCAGTCGTGTGCGATTTGCAGAGAGCGTGTGCGTCAATGGAGCACCACTGTTTCCGGTAAGTGAAACTTAGCCCGGAATCAGCTTGGACGGTCATTAAATTGCTTGCGGTCATTTCATAACAGCCCTCGGCTTTCTCGCTGGGCGACATATGTGTGCCGCCTATGGCAAATGTGCTCAAGGTGTTTCTGGAGAACGGGCAGACGAAGTCGTTTAAGTATGATGCCACCACAACAGTGCAGGATGTGGTTAGCTCGCTGCTGGACAAGCTCTGCCTGTGCTGCGATGAGCTCTTCAGCCTGGTGCTAGAACATGTCAAGAGTCTAAAGCGCAACAAGCTCACTCTACTCGACCCACAGGAGTCATTGGCACGGGTAAGTCAACAGTCGTCCTATTACTAAGGCGAAGATCCACTCATATGGTAGATATATTGTTGAGCTAATTTACCAATACGTCCGTCTGTATAAACTCCTCTATCTCAAAAAACAACAAGCAAAGTTGAACTCTTACATTTAAAATATATATTAAAATAAGTGAAGTTTTTGTGCTTAATATATATATAAAGATCAGGGATAATTATGCCATGGAATGGTTTTCAGGTCAGGGTATCTAATACCGGGTATCGGGTATTCACCGACCAAAGTAGTTCAACTTCTTTTTATTCGTACTGTTGCCTTTGCAGATTGCTGCCCGACCGGGCGCTCACAAGCTGCGCTGCCTGTTTCGCATCACCTTCGTGCCCATTTCGGCGGCAGAGCTGGCACAGAGAGATCTGCACGCACTGGACTATCTGTACATGCAGTGCTGCAACGATGTCAACCAGGAGCGCTTTGCACCCGAGCTACAGCCTGAGCTGGCCTTACGTCTAGCCGCTCTGCACATGCATCAGCATGCGCTGGCCAACAACTTCGCACCTGCCAAGCTCACTGTCAAGCTGGTTGAGTGAGTGTGCAGATAGCCATCTACCGTTGCCTCTCTAACACTTTTATCTATTTCTCTCACTTTTATTAGGCGTGAGTTTGGTCTGGAACGCTTTGTGCCCGTTAGTCTGTTCGAGGGCATGAAACGCAAGGAGCTCCGTCGACTCATTTCACACTTCTTGAAGGTCAATGCGGAGATGACCGGGTCCAGCAAAGTTTTAACCCAGCTACAAGTAAGCAAAATCAATTTTAAAGAAACGTATAAGTAATCATGGAGATATGGTAAAGTATTAATATTATAATATATGCATATTGGCCATTCCAAGCTTGATTTACAAAATGTGATCAAAGCGTGAATCAAATATGCATAGAAATTAATATATTTTATTTTTTTTGTGGAAATACTGAAATAATAACGCCTTTATTAGAACTCAAGTAATAAGCAAATCAATGCTAAACAAGTAAGAATGCCTCAGTCGGGCGCTACCGACTGCATGATACTCATTCTTAAGCAAAACGCTGTAACATCCAAAACTATGCAAAATAGAATTTTTCCGATTGGCGGTAGTCGTAGACCTAGACATAAACTGTCTCGGTCAATTCTTAAAATAAAAGTTAAATATTGGCTCTTTAGCTGACTTTGCAAATCACGAGTAATTTTTTATACACCACGTCCCCAAAGGAGCGTAATTTTTTTTGTTGCATAGATAGAGAAAGTCAACCGTAGCTAAATATTCGGAAGTCTTTTAACATTTTTAACTCTGATGCTTTAGAAGATATAGACGTGTGCTGTTTGACACGGTCTTTATAGGCGTAGATATATATGTTTTTTATAGTTCATTATAATTATAGAGTGCAGTCCTCTCCGTATATTTTAGGTCTCTAGCATAACAGAAAATGTACAGAAAAACATTTAGTCAGATCGTTTTTTCCCCTATCGGGCGTTGATCTGTAAATTAACAGTAACTCTTAAAGTTAGGTTGCCAATCATTTATGCCTATCGTGACAATCTTAAACATTTTTCAGACAACAATACCCACGAGTCTGTATGTATTGTAGCTTAAATAGCGGCGACATAATGTGTGCTAATACGGACAGACAGAACCAATAAACTTATTTCAGTTCAAGAATAATTAAAAAAAATATAGCCTAAATTTCGATTGAGAATTGCTCAGGAAACATTGTTTTTTTTTTTTGCAGGCGAAACTCCATTATCTAGATATAATCGCTAGTTTACCAAGCTATGGCGCCAAATGTTTCAGCACAAACCAAAGAGAGGGCATGGAACGCGTTCTGCTCGTGAGTCCACGCTTCGGTCTAAGTCAAATATCCAGTGCACGCAATTCCGTGGTAAGTCACGACTATATCTAAATATAAAATAAGTAATATTAACATGAACCTTGTATTCAAAAACCAGCCACAGCCTATTTCGGCCATAGAGGACTTTACACATGTCGTCGTGCATCGCGAGGACGACATCACCTGCAGCGTCTCGATTTACATGCTGGGTGATCGAGCAGTCAAGTTTATAATGGAAGATCGCGATGCCTGCGAGTTTAGTCTGGTGCTAGGCGGCTACTATCGTCTGCTCACAGGTAATAAAATGCGTTAGACTCGAGTTGATGGCAACTCAATAACAACTTTTTTCAGGAAATATGCTGAACGTGCTGCGTGAGCGCGAGCCAAATGAGGAGGACAATGCGCCCGCCTTTTTGTCACAGCACACTGTGCTGCCCGCTGGCTGGAGCTATCTGTTGCCCTTCCACACTCGAGCGCATAGCGTCAACTTTCTGATGACGCCGCCGTATCATCCAATGCCGCAGCAGGCAGTGCTCTCGCAGCCACAGCCAGTGCAGCAGCAGTTGACCTATGCGACCGATTTGGATTTGCATAGCGTAATGGCAACCGAGCTGCTAGAGGAGGCGGCCAAGGACTCGGGCTTGAGCGACAGCAGCGGCAGCAACTATTGCAGCGAAAGCCGCACTCAGCTGGCTGTCGAGGCGAAGAACGAACAAGTGTTGCGACGAGTCCAGGAGCTGCAACAACTGGTTCAATGTTCTGAACAGTATCTCAGCGAACAAGAGCAGGAGCTGCAGCAAATACCCGTTCAGCAACAGCAGCAGAATCAGCAGCAGATGGGCCAGAGCGTGGCTATGTTAGAGTTCGATAGCGACTGCGATAGCTTGAACAGCAGCAAAGTGTCCTCCACGGAGGAGAGCAACCACATCAATCAGCCCTCGCTCAAGCACAGTGACTCGCTCACACTGCTGGCCGAGACGATTAGCCATGAACTGACCGGCATAACGCAGGGTCTCAATGCCATACCGGAGCCAGTCTCTGCATCCGCACCGCCCACACCTGCCACACCCAAGCGCAAGCCGAGCCTGTGCAGCACTTCCAGTCCACGACCACAAAGGAAGTTCAATGGCTTTAGTCAGCTGCTGAGCGATTTGCAGGCCCTGGGCACAGATTTCTCACAGAGCGAAAGCGATTCCGAGTCGGTAGCTTCGCCAGCACAATCGCCGACAACTCGGCGGCCACAGCAGCTTGTTCAGGCGGGCATCAAACAACAGCAGCATCAGCAGCTGGCTCAACGCAGCAGCTTTGGTCTGCACAGTCCTGATGGAACTCACTTTGGTGCAGAGACTAAGGATTATAATTTACGCGAGTATCTGCAACAGCTCAAAGAGATTAGCAATGTGCCCGATACAGATGTCGCTGCTCGGCAGCTGTCGGAGATTTATGGCTTCGAGGTGCGCGAGGATACGTTTATTGAGACGGATACGGATTTAATTGATTTACGTGCCATACCCCCACCACAGACGCCCGACGAATTGGACTCGCTCTCGCTGCTTAATGCGGCGCCGCCCAAAGGATTTGAAGGCAAGGCCGAGGAGCTGGATAGCTTTCTACAACAGATGCTAGTGGCGCCGCCCACGCAGAAAGCAACGCCCGCTAAGGAGCTAACGCCCGAGGAGATTATGTCCTTCATTATACCCCCGCCACCAAATTTAGAGACACAACCCGAAAAAGAATGTCTGTACAGCAATTCAGTTCAGGCTAAACGTGAGTTTTTCCAAGCCGTCGCCAATGGCAACAATAGCAACCAAAACAACAACAAGGATCCGGCAGCGCATGTCATTGAATATCCTACTGTGGAACGCAAGAGTAAATTCAGCTGTTGTCCAACATCCAAAAAGGAGGAAGCAGCACCACTCGAGGAGCCACTGCAGCCACCACCGCGCACCCCTACCACAGAGCATATGACTCCACCGCCAGCGCGTCCACCCAAAAGCGCGGAGCTGCTGCAGAGGTACTCACCTAAAAAGCAAGTTCGCATCATTGCACCGGTGGCACCGGTAAGTGTGCCGCTGCGTGAGCTCTGCCCTCCACAGCTGCCACCACGCAGTAGTCCCACAGCCAGCTCGGAGCCAGCTACGCCGCAAACAGCTATACCATCTACATCAGTGGTGAGTGCGCCCAAGAAACCCCCGCTGCCACCCATTGCCAATCGCCCACGTCCCGTCAATGGCATACCCACACCCGCCAGCAATACAACTCCACCTATACCGGCCACAGGCCGCCTACCCAATGCGCATTCCAATGGTGGTCAGCCCACGCTTCCGAAGAAGCCACAACAGTCGCACGGTGAAAAGCTATTCATCAAGAATGGACATCTAATCGATGGTGAGGCGCTGCTGGCTAAAACGGATGTGGCCATGGCTGGGCTGCTGATCAAACTTGATCAGGTGGCCGCCCAATGCTCGGCCGCTCAGTCAGCTGGCGGCGGCACCAGCATCGATGAGGATAAATTCCAGCGAGCACGCAACGAGTTAACGGAGCAAACTCTGGCTTTAGTCACAGCCAGCAAATTTCTGGTAGCCTCCATGTCAGATATGACGCTGATAACGCTACCGGATCACCTGGCCTCCTGCTTGACGGCCATCCGCCGCATCACAGAGCTGGCCCAGGACATGACCCGGCACACCTCGGCACCGCTGCAGACGCGTAATATTGTGCTCAAGGTACACGATGTAGCGAGCAGTTTCCGAGAACTTGTTGGCGTACAGATCGGTCCCATCGGAGCTGGCCAGCTGGCACTGCAGGCCGAATGTCTGGCCAACGTGTTGGCCACCCTATTGCGTAGTCTGCGCGTCTTCTCGCCCTAGAAGCCAGTGTATCCCGATCCTGAGCAAAAGCAGGAATATGAAGTCGACCATGAAGCAAACGCGACCCGATCCTAAAACTTGATCCGAACCTATCCAACAACACGAGTACGACCATAAGCACGACCACGAGAAGGACATATCGCTCGCCCGTATATCTACTCAAATATCAATCTAAATACTATTTAGCTAAATATCCTTTACAAATATACCCTACTTATACAGCATCTGCAACTATTTTACAGGTAAAAGGCAACGTCAGAGAGTCGTTGGTCTGAATTTAGGCTAACTATTGATAGTGGAAACTCGAACATAACCAAATCTATAAATACATATATAACATTTATCGTGTTCAGATGCTACACACATACACATATATACGAGTACAACCAAAGTCATATTCATATTCATACTCATATTCATATATAGCAACAATTATGTTTTCTTTACTGAATCCTATATACGCTATTTAGAAGGTGTCATATTTTATATGTAAATTAGCTTTTGATAATCTTGTTTGTAAGCTTAGCAAGAGTTGAACTTATTAGTTGTTCTATGAAATCCCCAATTTGAAGTTGTGTTCTTTTTGAAAAAGAACCATGTATAGCGCATAGCCAACATCTGAGCACGATTTTAATCAATATAATATTTAATAAATAAACTTCTATGAAACCCTCACATCTAACTGCATGCAACTAACTCGAATTTGAATTTCTGTGTAACCTCTCTAATAAATCTTATACTAGAATACAAAAACTAAAACAATAATTTCTAAAAACTCATCTTTTTACTATCTATGAATGTATCTCTCTAATCGTTAACGATAAACCAATTTAAGCAACTTCATGACTTGAGTGTAGACCAATTTATATATGTATTTGTAACAAAATATCTAAAAACCAAAAAACAAATATTATACAATGTTTAAAGAATATGTTTATTTTTAAATTACGGCATTAGTATATTTTCTTATGTACATATATATATGTAATACATATATACAATTTACATACATTTCATATACATACATACTACATACGTATACATATATCAAACAAAACAAAAAGAAAATTGACCAAACAATAATCAAAATTTTAACTTGTGATATAAAAATGAATTAGTGAAAACCCAATGTTTTGTTTAAACTTTTTTTACAATACTAGTTTGTTAATACTCCATCATGATTTATTGTTATTGTTTGTCACTTTGATGTAGTCTTTTATTGAAGTACAAGAATGCGCACTAAGTTGTAGCTTTAACTAATCTATAATCGTCTATTGTTTATTATTGCAGCAATAATAATAATTAATCAATTAGAGGAAAATATAAAAACACATTTCGCAGTGCTAATCCCAGCTAAATGGTATTTTGTTTCTATTTTGTTTTCAATTCTGTTAAACATATAATAAACATAACCATTTGCATAAGAAATTCGTACACATATACAAATATAACTACAAGTAATAATACATATTAAGTATACATATTAAAAAGCAAAATGTACAATGTAAAACATGTAACTGTTTATGTATATCATACAAAATTAAAACATTAAAAATAAATTCAATAAACATACCAAAGATACGTGAGTTATTATTAATTAAAAGAGAATCGAGATCTCTCTGAATGCAATGAGGCATTTTCAATAATGGGGCTCTTTTACAGAGCTAAGAAATTCATTTTTTATAACAACAAGTAACGAATTTAATACAGAGAATGTTGCTATAAAAACAGTATTGGTAAGCGTAACAAGCTTATGCACGCCTTCAGCTTTGTGTAGCTACAGTGCGGTAAACTTTGATTTTCGCAATTCGAGTGCTGCCCAGCCAGTGAGAATTGTGACTTATGAGTAAACTATCGATAGGCAAACGATCATCACTAAGGCTAACAGACGAGACAGTTTGACGGCAGCTCGAACTTTCGCGCGGGGTTTTTCAGTTCCGTTCAGTACTTGAGTGAAATTTGCAGAGCAGACAGATTGGCGCTCGCGGGTTTTTTTACTGTTACAAAAACCAAAGTTTTTGGCGCAAAATTATCAAAGTCTTTTAAAATGAACGCACACACAATTGACGCTGAAGATCAGCAACTAAACAACAACATGCAGCTTTTGAATTCCGAACTGTGCTCTTTGATTGATGAGAAGCAATCGCGTCCTGAACAATTTTCGAGTTGCAACAGAGGCAGTGCAGCTGGCAGCGCGATGCAGGAACTTAATCACAGGGTACGCGACTTCTCATTCGATTCCAATGCGCCACAATTCGAGTTTCATGGATTTGGTTGCATTCAGTCGCTGGCCATGCCAAAGCGTCTGGTTTGCTTGAACGACGGTGAACTTCCAAAGAAGTCAAAATCAAATGGTTGTCAAAATCAAAAACAACTGCAGAAAGAGAACATATCAAGTGAGAAGGAGTTTAACGGGCTCAGCATAGAGCAAATGCAATCTGTTGAAGTGTTCGGCAACTGGTGAGAGAGCAATAACGATTATATTTATAACGATAACGATAACCGATTAATATTAATATTTGTTCATGCAGCCGCGAACGCAATCTTTTGCTGCGTTTGATAGACTTGTTCAAGTCGCTGCATGAGCATATCAATGCAGAGTTTCCCAGCCATCAGCTGAACTCGTTGTCATCGGATTACGTTTTCGAATTGCCCAGCAAGCACTCCAAGCCCAAAGGCTGCAATATACGCCATCAAGTACAAGTGCTGTGCACCAAATTGGAACGCTTCATCGGACGTCTGCGTCGCATCTTGGAGTCCAATCGCCACTTCGACTACACCAAGTATGCCGAATGCGATGGGCTAATCAATGGAGCTGCACAGGGTCTGCGCACCCTTAAACAATTCACAAACGTGGATCTGCGCCAACGTAATTTGCAGTTTATCAGCCATTTGGCGAACGGTAAGCTGTTCTCAAAACTTGACTATAAATTCGAATCTCGATGAGGCTCGTTCATTTTCAGAAAATGCCTCTCAACTGGAAATTGTGCTACTTGATCTGCGGGAGCGTTTGAAATCTGCTCACATTCATGTATATGTTTTCAACTGGGAAATGGATATAGAGCATCGTTATTCGGCGACTATGACAACAAGTCTCGAGGAGATGAATAACAAGGCTTTATCATTGGCTGCCGCAGAGTTCCAGGCTGCGCAACCACGTGAACTTTGTTTTGAAGAGCAGTTAATCGCAGAGCACTATCATCTGGGCAACGTGGTCAACTGTGCCAAGGAGCACGAGGAATTTCTCACGGCACTGCTCAAATCGCCCGAGAACTATTTCCCACCAGATATTATTGACTTATGCAAGCCGCCCATGAACAAAAATAAAAGCCAGCTGCCACCTTTACCATCTGACTCTGTCGATGATGTCACAGATGGCATAGAGAATTTGGTCTTTGGTGGAGACATTCTCGAAGTGGCACCCTCTTCACCACCAAGAGCCAGCCATCGCTCCCATATTCCAAAGTGTTTTAGAGCTTAGAGATCTGAGCGACACACGTATAATTGACATTGCTTGAGCCAATCTTACAGAAAGGCAACCAATTTGTACGCAATTTAAGAATTTAATGGATTGCATCCCATATTTTAATCAACACAGAAAATTAAAAACCCAGAAGAATATGTTGAATTGTAGAAAGAAAATATGATATTGATATCTTCTTTTTATTTTAAAGTGTATTTGCATTATACGATTTTTATTTTAAAATGTTATTTAATAATAATTTTTCAAAAAACTTTTAAGAATATTCTTGATTTTAATCAAATTTTGTACAATAAAAAATTTGATTTAATGCCCAATTTGCCTTATCTTAAAAGCAACTATAAATCAGTCAATCCAGATTAAATTTATTGTTTTTTTAACTTATTTACAAAAGCTCTAAAAAATATGAAGCATTGATATATATGTCAGAGCTTAAAGATCTAAGAAGAGCTGCTCAAGTGGATATTTGGATAGGGCCTTATTTAAAACCGACTTAAAGATCAGACTCATACCACCGGATATATCAGCCTGGAGTTCATTAAAGACCTCGCGCCAGTTTTCGTTGATCAGAATGTGGAGATTGTCGCTAAGATCCTTCTGGCCATTAAACAGATTCTCTAGCTTGTAAGAAACGCGTGATGGCTCCAGCTTCATCTTTAGTTCGGTCGCCTTCGCATAGGTCTCCTGCGGACCCTTGGACACAGGTACGAATTTCGCAACAGCGCTTACCTTACAATTTTCTATAAATCGCATATTGAGTATAAAATATTTTACAAATTATAAACTTATACAAACCTAGAATAATTTCCGCTTTACCCTTTCCAACAATAGGCAGTATCAAAACTTTGCCTTCTATGCTGTAAGGACCTTTGAGCGTTATTTTGGGGGAGACCATATCGAAAACAACTGGACGACTAAGATCGCTCGTGAAGGAGCTAGCAGTACAAATATGATTGCTTTTTGATCATCCGCTCATTGGGGCTATACTCGTATCTATTATTCACTTACGTTATTCGCCTTACACGCGCCTCGTGGAGACCGAGCAACTCCGCGTTATTAAAGCTCAGATCGACGCTAACCGGACTATTGGGATTTTTGCCAAGGCTGAACTTCTTGATATTCAGTGGATCCAATTTAGCTAAACCCAGCTCCTTGATGCCTGTCGTAGCGAAATTCTTGATCACATAATTCATGCTGTCCATCAGGCACTTCTCATCCGCAAGCGCACATTTTTTAATATTTCCAGCTAAAAGGCGAATAGTTGAACTTTTATGAAATTCAGTTTGAATGTATATTAATATTTAGCACATACGTAGATCAGGACTGGACCCGCACGAGTATATATTCAGACAACTGATTATCAATAGCGAAATAATAAATAAATCCATTGTGAAGTTAGTTTTCTGAAATGCTTGCTGATCTGACTTCGAGAAGTAACTGTTGAAGCTGTCTCTATATGTTCACTTTTATAGGGCTTATCTGTCGAGAGCAGGCTATTAAAAATACATATTATACTGTAGTATTTAAATTTCATCTGAGCTTTCAGTTGTACAGTTGTTAAATTACTCTTTCGACTCGTTCAGTCAGCTAAGTTAACTTTTTGTGCGCCTGAGTCAGCTAAACTCAGGCACTTTAGGGAAACACACTTCTTTCATATACCTTATAATTGGGTAGACAGACATTATATTTGTTGTTGTGTTTTTAAAATTGATGAACTTAGAACAATAAAACTTTCTAAAAATTAAATGGTAATATTCTTAAGCTCTACTAGTACAGCCAACAAGATTCTATAGTACATATACATGCAATGCTTACGATGAACCGATGTTCGATGTGCTTCGATCCAATTATTTATTGTGTGCAAGAAGCAGGGTATCATCCAATCTCTCTTACATGTTTTTCTTTTTTAATGCTTATGTTGTTAAGCGAAGTCACAACCATACTTTGTGTCTGATCTATTACACTTATTTGCATTATCGATTACATTGTGCTGTTTATAGCTCGAATCCGGTTTCTATTGGTTATATAATTTATAATTATCCACTATAAATGCTAATATTTACTATACTCTTAAATTGAAAGCTAACTGAAAATTAATTATACTATAAATAATATTATTTGCAGGGCATTTACTATTCGGTACATTTTCAAAACTCTTCCCCACGTACTGGTTGAGACTTCAGACACTATTGACCTACCTAAAAGGTTCTTAATTGACTGCATCTGATAAACTTACATCATTTTTGTAATTAATTACCTGATTTCAAGCTCTGTTCTGTATTGGGCTATTACAATGTTTTGGAATAAATTTGCTCACTACTAGACAAAACGCAGTTTCGCGCTAACTATATATTCATAATTAGTATGTGACAATATAAACCCTCGATATAAGAGACTATCAAATCTACTTACGCCGAGTTGGGATATATCAACCGGTTTTCCCCGGAAAAGCAAATAACAGTATTTCAAATGGTAAATAGACCTAATTAACTTGTTTTAGCTTGTTTCTCCTTCTCTCTCACTCACTATGTTTTTAATTCTCTAATGCCGTTGGCTGTGATGGGATGGACCGAATGCACCAAAAATCAATTCAAAAGCCTTAAAGATTTTAACATGTATTTTTCAATTACGCCAAACATAAAAATATTGAAAGAAGGCTTTGTTTGCAACAATAAGAAGTTTACTTTTATTCAAGTCAAATTACTTAAGTAAAGATTGCTTCCGTATTGTATTTTTATTCCCTGAACCCATTTCAAATAAGAAATCATGGTATAATGTTTTTTTTATTTCAGAAATTATTCATATAATGCATAAAAAATAAAAAATAAAAATGTAGCTGCCGGGCGCAACTCGGCCACCTGGCTGACCTGGAATATCTGATTTGTCACGCCGCCATCAATCTTAGCTCCTTTGGATTTGACATGCTCCTATGTGCAGAAATGTGTTCACTATGTTGTCTAAAGACTCCAAATTTTAAGGCATTAAAATCAAAAGCGTTGAAAATATAACGAAATTTATACAACTCACAATATTGTCATCTGATAGTATCTGGTAGTATGCCTCCAATGGACATACGTATATATGTACTTTATCTTTTTAGTAGGCGTTGATCTCAGCGAGTGTATATTTCAAGTTTCATGCTTCAATATGGCCCTAAATATAAACTTTTTTGTTTTGAAAGACATAATTTTTCCTAACTTGTTACGCCATTAGTGTGCGTTACCATATGTTCCAGATTTCAATTCTTTAATGTGATGTGCATTCATGCAAACAGGAGCACGAAAGTTGAACAAAAACAATATACTCTTTTCGCTGCGTAAGCGAGCATAAAAATGGTATTTAAAAAGTTATTATCAGTAATGACTATATAGTATTGTCAATTTAGAATATAATATTCTCAATTTGGCTCTTTACAGTATACGAATGTCGTCAACCTATCGTTAAATTTATTAAAGCTTTGCAGCTTTCACTATGGAAACTGGTAACTCCATTGTGCACGCCAATGATAATCAGTTCTATGTGGTGACAGTACCGCAGGTAGAAGTTTAAAATACTTTGCATATGGCTAAAGCCCTGCATTCCGCTAGCAAAGAAGTTCTCGTTGCTGACGTTGACTTTACTCAAATTGAGCAAGTACGAAAGAGAATAACCATATCCCTTGGCGTCTATTATAATAAAAAAATGCACATATTTCTTGAGCAAATATCATATAATGTATTTTCTTGGATAGATAGAGAGAGAGAGGGAGAATGCGAGTTCCTACCAAGCCTAAAAGTGATCTAAAGCTTAGACCTTAATTAATATTAATTTAACGTTGTCTTCGAAAAAACTTTCTATACTTAAATATTAGCGTGCTTTCCAATCTACTTCTCCTCTGTATGCAGATTAAGGTCACGGTGAAGGGTGGAGCTGCTCACATACCACATACCACAATATGATCGAAAGACCTCGTAATATGTAATTGCTTTTTAGGCCTATATGCCTAACTCTATCGAAAGCTTCCTTCTTAACAATGAAGAATTTTGTATTACACACGAGATTTTTTGGTCGATACGACTCTTGTTCGTCTTCTGGTTTTCTATGTTTATGGTCATGATTAGCGCTATGTAGATAATTGCCCGAGTAGACACGGCTCTCAATGTGGCATTGAACACTCTATCAATGCCAGAAAACTTCTTTCTTGGTAGGGACTTGATGACTTCAGCAATCTCCTCAGCACAGGAAGGGTAAGGACATTTGCACAGGTGTCAGTAGAATCTCATGTGGTATTAAATCATCTCGTAATGTCAGGATTTTGTTTAAATGAAGCGTGTTCCATATGCTCCGATCGTGATATATATACATATACTTGAAGCATATATATATATATATATATATATAGATTACTAGTACTAAAATTGTGCAAAAGAGCTGTCTACGTGCAGTGTATCCTACCGATATGGCTCTATGGAGTGCAAATCTGGGGAAGAATTGCTGCCAAATCCAATTACAAGCGGGTTCAGGTTTTGCAGAACCGAGTACTGCGACAGATAACCAACTCTCCCTGGTATATACGCGGCTCAATACTCCACAGAGACCTAAAGCTGTTTACTGTCAAAGAGCAGATTGGAAGACATACAAGCAGACACACGGACAGACTGCAACGACACCGAAGCCTACTTGCAAGAGGTCTAATCCCTGCCAGACCCCTAAGACGACTTAAACGGCAAGGCTTTGCCAGAACGATGGGAATGCTGTAAATTGTCTCTTTTAATTCCTCATATTGTGACAGTGGTTCGGCTATAATTCCATATATACATGTGTTGTTAAGGTACTAAATTTGATTGTACAGGTTCTACACTTAACAATAATAAAATACTAAAAAAAGTACTAAGATTTAACTAAAAATGCTAGATAAGTACTAAAATTTAACTAAAAATTATCAAATATATTGCATATCTTTGGGCTGTACTTATTTACAATCCACTAAGCAAACTCCACGAAATTGTGCTATTGAAATCTACTGCAAAATATCATAAGAATAAATTTAATGCTGAAAAGACTGCAACAAATTATACAATTTTTCTCAAACTTTTGCTTATATGTATAGCAAACTCTTAACTTGAAGACCAGTATAGCTCCTGGTCGGGCACTCTCGACTAGTGCAATAAGCATTCTTACTTTTATTTACTTTGCAGAATATCGTAAATATATATCATATGAATATTGAAATTACATCTACTTAAAATCATGAAGTCTGGGTAACTGTTTTCTATATCATTACAAGAAAAACCTAATTCGATTGCGAATTGAAAATTACTTTCAACTATGAACAATTGTGAAAATATTAATTTAATCTTGAAGTCTATCTAACCAAATTACCTCGATCCAAAAATTGGATCGAACTCAAGCGGCCAGACATAGACATATAAAAAAATTTTCAATTAAGTGGAAAACGTATTAAAATTCTTGAATGCAGTGGTAACTTTAGCATAGGGTTTCAGAAATCCAGATTTCCTAATTGAATTTCAAGCAGCAGTAATAGTTTTATCAACAAGTTCGGGCAACTATATGTATGATATATAGTTATTTAATGACTCACAAGCATTGGCTTAGGTGTAATTGTAATTAAATAATTGGCAGGTCGCACACCTGTTATTATTTAATCAACCATTTATTTACTTACTGCCAATAAATGAGTCTAAGGTACTCTATTATAAACCTCAGCTATTATTAGCGAGCCATTTAAGTGCTTATGTGAAAGATATATTTGTACTATATAATTATAATTTATTAGTCAATTTCATTTACTCCTCGAAGAACTTAGCGTAGGGATACTTTGAGAAAACATTTGTGATAATCGCTTGAAATATTTCGGCAAATGCCGTTTGCATCGACTGTTGCACCTCCAAAAATATGGCCTCCCAGTTATCGTTGAGGAACGTATTCATATTGTCACCCAAGGCCTTATCTCCATTGAACAGATTGCTGAAGAGGTAATACAAACGCTCCGGCTTGGTCGAAAGCTTCAGGTTGGTTGCTTCCATGTAGGTCTCGCCATCCTTCTCCACAGGCTTGCCCGTAAAGCTCACTATCATATCACAGTTGACTACGGAGAATAAATATTATTAATAGACGCGTAACGAAGTTATAAAAAGAGTAAATTGGCATTTAAACAATGCCTGTCTTGTCGTCACTATGAAAGCTAGAGACTATGAATATCGAACATATATACACGGGATTAACTTTTTATCATTTTCTGCATATGCTTACTATGGAGGCGTGTCCAATCTACAATCTATTTAACCACATATATACTATTATTTGCGGCACTATCTTAGTCTTACAAATTTATAGACGTAGATATCAAATTAAAAAAAAAAAAATGTTAATTCACAAATTTGGTTGACGTGATCTTTATGAAGCTGCGTTACTGATAAGACCAAGGCACAGCTCCGCAGGTATGATGATAACAACCTGCTGTGATGAGCTAGCCCCGTCCGTAGCGTCTGCTAACTTATCAAAATCCATCACTCGGCTTTTAACTTTCAAATGTAGCAAATATTTATAAAATGTTCCATTCTCTGGGATGTTTCACACAATCCGTTTTGTAATACGTATTTTCAAGCACATGGATTAGTGATCTGTAACCGTTGCTTACCCTGGCGGTTTAGAAAAACATGACAGCAGAAATAAAGCGTGAAGGTGGAGACACTCGGACTTGAGTCCTGATGATATTAATTCTTTGCTTTTGTGTAAGTATGTACAGATCAAGTGGCTCGATAATGGTTCAGGATTAGATCTACTCTGTCATTGTAGAGGGCTCCTGTTTATGTTTTTATTATTTTATTATGATAATTACCCAATGTCATGTTGCTCTCTCCGCTTCCGCTGATAGGGAGTATTAGCACCTTGCCCGTGATTTTGTAGGGTCCGGCAAGGGTCAGTGTAGCCGCATTCAACAACAGTTCATGTTTTTTATCAATGCTCTTGCCGAAGCCCCTGCATTTCAAATAAGTGAGTTGATGACTCCCATGAGTTGATCCTCAACTTACTTGACTTTTCGGATCTTCATAGTGCTAATGCCGTAGACGTTGTTATCCGTAAAGGTTAGATCAATGTTGACTGGACTATCGGCGCCCTGTTTGATGTTCATCTTGGCCACAGGCAGCGGATCAAGCTTAACCAAATTTAAAGCTCGATCGCCCTGACTTGCCTTACTGCTGATCAATTCGTTAACCAGCTTTACGATGCAATCCGATTCGCCATATTTACAAGGCTTAGGATCCCCGGCTATATATATATGATAAAATTGGCAGGGATGTCAAATAGAGAATATTGAGCCTTGCTTACGGAAATCAGCACCAATAGGCACACCAAGTACAAAGCAAACAGCGATGCTCAAAATAATTCGCGACATTTTCAAAATGTAATAAAACTTAAAACTGACTTAAGTGAATCTCTAGAAGCAACTAACTGGTTTCTCATGTCTAGGTACGATTTTATAGTAAAGCGTCTAAGGCAACTGTAGCATATTAACAAAAATATATGTAACATACATATGTATATAATTAACTTATTATAAAGTGATATGTCCCCGTAAACAAATATAACCTGTTTGAATCCCATCATATACTATATAGTACTCGAATTTGGTGGACGTATGGGTAATCTACGGATTAATGTGACTAGAACTTATTTGAAAGGTTATTGTTTTTCTGAAAAATACACTTAAAAACAACTCTTTTTTATTCAACAAGAATAGAAAATAGAGACATCAAACATATTTGCGTAGACGTTGCATAATTTGCTTTTCCAAATGTCTTTAAAGTGTGGTATCTTTTTAAAATATTGTTTTATATAACCAGTATTTTTTTAGCTACCGGATAACCACCGGATAAAAATGTATAATGCTTTATATGTATATACTTAAAGCAGTACAAATCTAGGACTACTATGTATATAGTATTTAGATAAAAACTATTATATTTTCCATCCTAAGACTACTTACTAGACACAAACAATTATCCTATGACCGTGAACCGGGAACGAATATTATGCAGTCGGTGGCACCCGACAGTAACAACGTTAATTATTTTTATTACTCAATTGTTTAAATGTTTAAATAAATTATGCTTAACAAGAAGTGTTAAGGTAATTTTTCATATTAATTATTTTTATATAAGTGAGTAATGTCTAAGACTTATCCGACTCATCATAAAACAAATCATTTTAATTTTTAAAATATTTTCATATTTCAGTCAATGGTTATATTAAAATTTAATAAATATATTTTTCAGTGCAATTTGGACTTATTATACAAATTATATGATTCTTTAATTACATCTAATTGTTGTGTTTACAGCAATCGATTGTCAATCACTTCATTTCTCTACATCATACAAATACTTGTTTTTTTCTGGGTATATATTAACATAGTATCAACTGGCAGTCATCATTGAAGGTTCTGAAAACAGGAAAAAATACGTTTCAATATCACATATAAGATTACTTCAAAGTACATCTGATGTACACAGTCTACATTATTACACAATCTAAAGCTGATATAAATATAAATAAATATATATATATGTATTCGGCTTTAGATTCTGTAATATATAATGACTGATTGATTGTTGTTCATTCGAATTAGCGTGTAAATCTCAAATTGGATGTTAATTAAATTTAGAAAAATGTAAATAATTGCGTAAATATTACTAGACCAAAGTTCTCTAACGTATACCAATTGTCACCTACATATAAAGGGAAAATTAGTAAAGCAGAAAGCTCAATATATGGTCGGGTGTCAACTCGCATAAGTCAAGTACCTGTTAAGGCGAGACCATCAACAAATGTTTCGAATTGTGTTTGTCTTCCTGGCATAAAACTGAAAGCTAAAAACTGAAATCGAAATCGAAAAACGAGTTTCGCACTAATTAGCCTAACATCGTGATGGGACAACTTTTTGGGGGATAACCCCTTAGGAAAGAGAGAGCATAAGAACAGAATGCAATAATTCTATATTCTCTATTCTAATAATTTAATATTCTAATAATTTCTATATTCTAATAATTTTAAATGACCAAATAGGGTATATTTATTCTGTTAAAATATATGTAATAGGCAAAAGTGGGCGTGTAAGTATTTATATTGTTAATAGTTTGTCTACGAGTGTTCGAATCAATGTGTCGATTTATCAACCACTAATTTATAGATTGAAGTTTATTTCGTTGTCATTTCCATGACGTCGGTTTAAATATATATAATTATTTGGACACGATGCCATAATTTGCCATATATATATTCAGCATTATCTTGAAGTATAAACAAATAAATAGTACATCTTTTATCTACATGCCACAAATTGCATTTAAACCATAAGAGAAATTTGTTTATTATAGATAGAGATAAGATGTGTTTTGCCTTATATTTATTGTTGTGTGACTCTATTATCCTGAAAAAGTCTTTACTATATATATATATATATATATATATATATATATATATATACATATAGGCAAGAATATTAGAAACTTTAACTCAGGGTGCCTACTAGTCGGACACATCCAATAATCCACAATAAAGACTACCCGTAGGCAAAGCTAAATATATACCTCAGATATAGTCCACTTGATTGTCCAGTTAACCAGCCTCCAAAATGATCGTAAGCAACAATAAAATTAATAACAATAACAAGTCGCAGAACTTGATCATAGTACATACTAGCTGCATGCATAGTATATAAGAAAAGTATCCATCGAACAGTTGAGTGACTCGCGCAGCTTACATGGAAGATTTTGCGTATAGTTCCAAGGTTAACTGGCTATCAGTTGCCTCAACGCTGGCTTTACCGTTGTCTACACTTGAACTTGGCAACGGTTTTTATAGCTTTTATATGTATATATATGTATCACGCATAAACACATACAAATGTACAATTACACATACATTGCCAACCTATGGCTCAGTTGCAGTTTAGTATTGCAATTGTGAAAAAAAGGCGTCGTTGTATGCAAATGTGTCCAATCACGTGAAATTTGTGGCTTAAATTTATGCGTCTACTTTGCGGAAATAAAACCAAAACCATTATTATAAAGTCTTATTCTATATAAAAGGTTGCTCTAATGCCAAATGTCAGTAAAATAAAAAGATGATAATGCGCTGTGGGTAAATTAAAAGTGGACAGGCAAAGAGAGAATTAAAATAAAACAGATTTTTAATCCCCCAAAAAATATATCCAATTTCATACAAGTATACACATTTTAAATTTCAGTTTTTGAACTTGTTTTATTAATTAATTATTTTTATTCTAAAGATTGTTCTTAGTTATTTAAGTGTTGCTGGTTAAGACCAGCAAACAGTCCATCGAAGCATATTTGTGAAGAAAAATACTCGCACACGTACACGTTAATAGCTAAAAACTTATAGACTACGACTTTATATATATTAAGATATGTCACATTCAAAGAGTGGAAGCGGCGCTTTAGTCCTCCAAAAACAGATCCTCGTAGGCGAAACGTTTGAACAGTGTGGCCAGAATGCTTTTCATAACATCCGCAATGGCCACATGTACCGAGGGCTGCAGTTCGCTCCAGACATCAGACCAGTTCTCGTTCAAGAACTGGTTCAAATTGGTACCCAACGTTTGGTCGCCGTTAAAGAGGTTGGTCAGCCTGATGTTCATTCTAGACAAGCAATCAGAACTTGTAGTGTATTCATTTAGGTGAACAGCTCTCTACTTACTTCTGTGGCTCCACGAGCACCTTGAGCTTGTCCACACTCAGATAGGTGCGTCCATTACGCACCTGTGTGGCCGGCTTGAACTTGACCGAGAACTTGGGGTTGTGCAGGGTGATGTCAGCATCGCCATCGCCGCGTATGGGCAGGATTAGAATGCGTCCATCAGCCAAGTACTTGCCACGCAAAATAATCTTCGGGAACGCGCCGTACATTTCAAACTTGCTTGTGGCTGGATTTGAGTCGAAGCCACTGCGAAAGAAGTAAACAATGCAATAATGAATATTAAATTGTATATACAAACATAAATGTCAACTTACACGGCCCGGTCGAACTTGACACCGGACAAGCCTTCCACGTTGACGTCTCGGAAGTTGAGCTTCAGACTCAGCGAGCCGCTGCGTCCATCCGAAATATCAAAGCGCTTAATCAGGAACGGTTCCACCTGTGGAAAGGCAGCTGGTGCGTAGCCAGTACGAGCATATTGGCGCACTAAAGTGTGAGACACATTGATTATGCACTCGGTGTCGCCGTGATGGCAACGCGGCAGTTCAGCAGCTAAATAAAAATTTAATTCAGGACAAAATCCATGCAATTCGCCTCATTGGACTCACGGAAATTGGATGCGCCGTTGGCGCCACCTAGTGTCAGGCAAGCGAACAGCAAAACGGAGCACACGGCAAAAAGCATATTTAGCAGCAAATAAAACTCTTTAAACAGAAATCAAAGGCGACGCGTCGCACAGGTCTTTTCGCGAACTCCCGACCAAGTTCAATGCTAAACTGTAAATCGGCTCTGGACAAACGCAGCCATTTATAGACTTTTTGTCAGAGCTCGCCAATACAATTCGGCCAATACGTTAAATAGTTTATTCATTCTTAGCTCGTCTCGTTTCGCATCGCTTTTCTCGTTGCCATTCTTGTTCTTGTTGCTGTTGTTGTATTTGTTGTTGTTATTAATATTTTTGTTGCTGCTTTTGTCTTCTAGCTTCCCATCAGCATAGATTCGAACTCGAATTCGAATTTGCAGCTCACGAAGCGCTAACGATGTTGTTGTTGTTGCAGTTGCTTTTCAGCTTCCCATCAGCATAGATTCGAATTCACAGCACGACTAGCTGGCACCAACAACGATGACAAGCATATTAATAATTAATATTATTAACAGGTCCCACAGTGCGACAAAATCAAAAGTGATTTTATACATTTTAATTCCCGTTTCGCTGGCTAGCTTTTAACGTCTTTAAAGGCGTTTGTGTTTGTTGACGCTGTCCAATGACGAACTTTTAATACCAAACTCAGATAAACAACTCTTACGTTTACATAGAAATAGTAGTAGATAAAGTAGTAGACGTCTGTTGATATTTCAGATTCGAATTGTAGAGCGTAGTTTCAGCTTCAGTATATTATATAAATATCTAAGTACATTTACATTTATAAATGAAATCTTTCTCATTTATTCAGGATATATCTTGCTTAATGATTGTACAATCTTGCAGCTTGCTACCATTCGATCATTCGAACATGCCACATACCATATACCATACACAATATTATTACCGATTCTGTTTATTGCGCTTTTTGTTTGAAGATCTATAAATGTCAATTTTATTGTCTGGCATTCACATTGTTGACAAAACACAAAACAGAAATAACAATAAAATATATATGAATATTTAGATATATACTCGTAGATACGCGTATAATATTCATTTTGTGTTTGCGTTGACATCAGCTACATAGATATACATATGCAGTTGACGAAGGGGTTCGATTAGAGACTTATTTAGAGATTTTCGTGCGAAATTTGGCAAGTGTTAAATGGTCAGACATGCATGTCAAATATTTCTCTTTTTAAAACTGAGATCATTCAATTTTTATTTAGTTTATTCCAGTTTGGTTAAAGTCATTAGATAAAACTACCTGAAGAGTCTATTCATTTTTTAACAACTAATGATGATTTAATCGTTCAAATCACCTGCAAAACGTAGCCGTGCAGAAGACAAACAAAACAAACGTATGTTCGTAACAGCTCAAGGTGATTAACTATTTAACACAAGCAAAAACACAAAACGCAGACAGGTTGAGGAATTTCCGTTTCGGGTGATAGCCGCATCATCAAAGACAAGATCTATTTAGAAACCCGCACCGCTCAGCAATTAGAAATAACTATAATCATGAACGATATAGCGAGTAGCAGACTGGTTTGCCAATTTGCCAAACATAAAAACATCAAAAAAACAAAAATGACTAGTTTAGTCGGGAGTACCTGATAAGGAGATACCCTGATGGAACTTAATTGAGAATTGGAAAAAGTTATCGAAGGTTCCAAATAGACTAGAACTGCCTTCGGACTGAACAAAATCAACTTGGCTATTAATCGCGATTAAGAATATATACACATAATATACATACAGTTATGAATGTGGCGACGCCTTGTTCTGACTGTTACATACATTTTAACAATAGATTTATACCCTGTCTAAGAATATTCAACGGCTTCAGGGTATACAATTCACAACCCGTGAATTTTATGGCCTCACTTTCAAACTATGAATGGCATGCGACGTGTAAACATAGCAAATATTACCAAATTTTACCGAAATCTTTAAGCGTTCGTCATCAATAGTTTATACACCTGTTGAGATGCCATCTTCATACCACAACAAGTATAGGGGGTGGTTGACTGAATAATACTCGTTCACAGTGCAAAAAATTTTAAATTTGCTAAAAAACAAGTAAGAAAGGTCTAGTAGGGGTGCCCGACTAGGAGATACAATGATCCCAGTCCTCCTATCTGCGTTTATTAATATTCTCCGTAGTTTGTATCAAGTATTCAAAAAAAAAAAAAACAAATAAAAATCGACATTACACACCAAGATTCGAACCCACATTTTTTACGCAACGCGCCTCAACTCTACCAACACCGCCACTTCGTAATTGAAATAAATAAAACAATAAAAATTGTCTCATCGCCGCGAGTTTCGAACCCAGAAATTAACTGCAGCCAATGCACCGCTTTAAATAATGGTCCTATTTCCAACTGAACTTAAATATTAAGAATTTGGGGAAATTTGGAGCCGGTATCCAAAATCCACTCTAGCTTTTAAGACGTCCGAGATATAATTTCTTAACTGCATTTCTATAATGTTTTTATTCGATAACAATTAGATGCGAATAGTTATCGAATATCGAACAAACTCCATATGAGCGTGCTATACAAGGACCTACAAAAAATTTAGCTATGGAAGCTGAGATTGACGCGTTCATACATACGGACAGACAGACGGAAAGGGCTCGTTCTACTCGGCTTGTCGTCCTGCCACGCCTCCTTCTGCCTGTTATATACATTTGCAAAAAACCATTATACCCTGATTTTCCATTTTCAATGGGATCAGGGTAAAACCATATCGTCTGGTTTCCCAAGCCCTTATGGATGAACAACATAATTTATAGGTATATCTATGAAAGAGACTTTAATTGATTAACGGATTTCCATTAATTATAAGAGCCTTGATCTCAGTAAGAGTCCAAATCTGGGTCCAAAGCTAAGCCAAGGAACGTCAATAAAAAAGATCAACAGCAATTTCTACCTATAAAACTTTGGAAGATACGGATTTTTTCAATTTGATACCCCACAATAAGCTTTTTATTGCGAGCATATATTTCCAAAACCCAAGAGCAGCGATATATTTATATGAAAAGGATTTCAACAAAAACAACAACAGCAAACTTTGTGTTCATACAGACAGACGGCAGAAAGCAATATACTCATTTTACCTCGTGAGCGAGTAAGAAAGGAATGACAATAGAAGCGCTGCAGTGTGTTTATTTATACATCCAATTGGCGCCAGTGCCATATATATATATATATATATATAGATATATATATATATATATAGATATATACATATATATATATATATTATCAGATGTATATGCATATACATATGCAGATGTACAAATGTACATTTTTAATTTTTGTTTTGATTGCTATACGAATTCTCAGACGCTTTCGTAGTTTACATTCGGCGATTACAATTAATGAACATATAAACAAAAACAGACAATAGAAAACACAAGAATTTGCCAAATCATTTATGTATGTAAAGTCGCGCGTGTTTTATTGATATTGGCGTTCGACAAATGAATACATTTGAATAGATTTATAATGATAGACCAGCTACTTATATTAATAATTTAAGCTAGTGACGTACTACGAATGAGTTGTTAAAAAAACCAGTTTAAATACACAGTTACAATAGGTTTAAGTTACATTTAGCAATTGATTTAATGAATTTACTTTATAAGCTAAAATATTGTGATTAGATAATTGAATGACATATTTTTTTAAAAGGCCCTAAAGCAAATCTTATTAATTCTTTTTTTTTAATAAAAGGTTTTTTTTGAATTTCTGTTATACATTGAAATAGCCTGACCAGACTTTCAAATAAAAAATATGGTGTAGCCAGACCGTTAAATAGAAATCATGCTAGCATATCGATACTAATTCTATCGATAATGCAATTTCAAGCAGCTCACTACACATTACTGACGACATGTCAACGTATTGCAAAAAGCGGAATAACCGCATAATAAAGTCAGGATTATAAACCAGAATAAACGGTATACACATATTAACAGAAATTATGATGCATATGTCCACTGTATGCGCATGCTTGGCTGCCGTCTTGGTGCTCAACTGTCTGCATGTGTCAGCATCACAACGTGTAAACAAAACCGCCGAATTTGTTGCCACTGATGAATGGCAAGTCATAGCCGAAGGTTTTTATTACGTGTACCAATTAGGTTCAGCTCAAATGGTAGTAACATTTCTTGTCTTTTAGGTCAGGCTATACCAAAAGGGCTACATGTTCGTATAAATCTGCAGACAGGTCTTAAAGAAGCAAAGCTACTGGACCCAAGCGAACGTGATACTGCAATGCAGTCGCAATCCAGCGACAGCGATCCAGGGTCTGGATCGATAAGTGACCCTTTATCGATAGAATATAAGGCAGACATGATTGAGGAATCGGTACGAAAGGTGAAAGAACATCGCGGCTATGCAGAACTGAGGAAAGCCTATAAAGATTTTCAAAAGAACTTTCGCACTGATGCCGAAGTAATCGTGCAACTGATAGAACAATATCGAAACTTTAGCAAAACGCCGCTTGACTTAGAGATAAAGCCGAAAATGAACGCATTGGAGAATCTTGGATATCTGGTGCATCAGATTGACAATGCACTGGTTTTTATTGATAGTGGCGGACTGGATGATATTATCCTCCCAATAGTGGTGAATGACACCAACACGGCTCTCAAAGTTTCTGCAATGCGAGTATTGGGTGCTCTAACGGGGAACAATCCCAAGGCACAAATCAAAGTTTTTGAGCGTAATTTCGGCTCTCATCTGGCACAAATCATGATGAGTTCGACCAACAGTGCTGAAATCTCCTCCGCGCTGCATGCACTTGGTGCACTATTGCGCAAGTTCCCTTTGGCTCAGCAGCGTGTTCTCTCCACGTCGGGAACACAGGCTTTGATTGGTCTGCTGCGTAGCACTGAAATTGAGCTGCGAAATAAGGCCAAGGTAGTTACCTTAATTAGCGACTTAGTGCTAGAAAAACGACATGTGATTGATGAAAGCAAGGAAGAAGCTTTAGCACAATATGTACTACTCGAACTTGAGTCGTGGCTGCAATCGCACGGTTATTGTGGTGCCTTAGAGGCTGTTCTCAGCAAGGATTATGTGAGCTTGCTGGATCAACCAGAGGTGGTCGAGCAATTTGCAGTTGCGCTACAGACCACTGAGAGTCTATGCCAACCCCTATGGTCCCAAAGCCCGGCTCTGCGACATGCACTGCTAACAGTGCGCAACAGATTCGCACACAGCGAAGACGAATATCGATCGGAAGTGTCACAGGCTCTGGCGGAACTCTGTGAGCGTTTCTATGAGAAGCACAGCCATTCGGAGCTATAGAGGACCAGTTGAGATTTAACTAAATTCTTTATTTTGTAGATGTTTTTAAAGTATTCAACTGACTGTTACGCATAAGTTGAAATGAGTTCCAATTTAGGCCAAAAATTTTATGTGATCTATTAACTAAAAATACTAAGCAGCAATTAAGCACAATTCAGTCATGCAAGTGAAAAATAACCAACTCTGAAATCCTTTGACATTACAATTCCTGCAGCACCTATTTAAAACTCAATAAAGCAAGCACAATCGACCAGCAGGCCATAAAGTAAGTCAAATGTGTTGCCTGTCACTGTTCAAGGAAAGCAAAATCCATTGAGAATAATCGAATGAAAGCATGGCCCAAAAAACGTTTAAAAGTATGCAAAGGAAACATGTAACTGTACAGCAGGAAAGAAAACTTCTTAAAGGGGAGCGTACGGCCAACGCAATTATGTGTGCGAGGAGAGGTTGAACTGTGCGAGAGCCGGGCCCGGCGTCCAGTTCGAAACAGCAATTAGCGACATGCAAATGCGAATGCAAATGCAATGTCACTGAGTCATGGCATAGGAAACACAATACAGGAGCAAAAACTAAAAGCAAATGGGAGTACCTGACTAGAAAATACTGAGCAGAGCTGCTATTTGAGATAAACAACTTTTATAGCACTAATGTGTTTCCTAAACATATTCAAACGAACAAACGGACAGAACTGGCTAGATCGATCGTGCACATCATCCTATACAAGCATAAATATATATATTTTTTTCCAGCTAATATAAATTTGCACTAAAACAAAATCCCTTTTTATCCATTTTCAATGGGCTTAGGGTATCGAACCGGCTCGGCAATTATTTGGACGCCTTGGTTGCCAGGGCGAGAAATTGCAATGTAAACAGAGAGCCAGCGGCGTCTGTCTCTGCCTCTCGAGAGAGCCAGTCCAAAAGCGCGCTCCCACTCCTCTCTGGGGTGGGTTCAAGTTAAGCCGGCCCAGTCAAGCGTAAAACGGCAGCGGTTTGCTTCACGATGATATTGCAGGTGCATCCAAAACTTAAGGGTTTGTCGAGCGCTATTTTCGACAACAAATATGTAAACAGGCAAAAGACGGAGAAGTGCGAGCTACTGCCTTCTACTTATATTGGTAAATAACTTAGCGAGCCTGGTCCACTCATTGAGCGACGCAATTTGAGCTTGGGCGCGTGCGCGTAGTCCCCATCGTAGTCATAGTATCTGCTTTCAACCACTACTAGCCAACATTTGCTATTGTTGTTGTTGTTTTGTTCGTTACGTTTTTATTTTTTGTATGAGGAGCTTAAATGGAAACGCTTGACGAGTGATGTGGAAACATTTTCAACACAACAGAAACAACTGGAGGGAAGGCGAGTAAAAGCAAAAGCAATAGCAAAATATATGTACAACCCAGACCCAGAGAGTCTTCAGACGCGACTTCTGCTCACATATGTATGTATATATATACGATGAGGAGTATATGACTAACAACAACAACTGAGCAACTGAAGCAAACGCACCGGCATTACAGGCTGTTGCTGTTGTTGAATGTTGTTGTATGTTGTTGTATGTTGGCTCTAGCCGTTGTTAGGGGCTTTGGCAACATTATGGAAAATCAGTTTGTGTTTGGACCGCGTTGTGGACGCATGTGTAAAACGAGTAGCTAAACGTTAAAGTGAATAGCATAACTGCATTTAACTCTTTGTGTAAATACAAAAACCGTATTTTTAACTAAACTCACTAACTAAAATAGCATTGAAGTGTAGAGCCCAAAACGCAGAGGATTGCCGGCCAAAAAATAACCAATTAAAATATAAAATAATCAAGAATTAAATCAGAACAAAATCGGTTCTTATTCCTTACTTTTTTTTACCAATGGAATATTGTTCTGATAAATATACCCAACTTGTTTCAATAGTGTAAGCAGTTTTCCAACTTTAACCAGTAATCTAAAATACAAGTACCTTGGCTCTATTGCTAGTTCAACAACTCATTTCCAAGCCACAATACTTTGAAATTCCGCCTCAACCAGCGCCGAGCATTTTAATAGTTCAAAATCCTTTTCGAAAAACCCGCTGCACATGCAAACAAGGCTTTTGCACAGGTGAATGACTTTTTCAGTGCGCTTCCGCGACTTCCGGTCAAAAGCGTTTTCATTTTCGCCAACCTGCCAGCCACCTGGCCGTTGGCCAGTGTCGTTAGACGAGGAAAATGTTTGTTTGGCTGTGTGTGGCGTCTCCTGGCATGCCATAAATCTGAGCTAAGACACCAGCCAACCAGTACTGCCGGTTTAGCTTTTTTCCGGACAGATTTATCCTGTTTTTTAGCGGCTCAGTTGGATGTAACTTTAAAGTTAAGCTCGCTCAGTGCGGCCCTTTTTTGACCTGTTTTTCTTTTGCTGCCAACACTTGCGGCGAGCTGTCTCCCAAATGGTAGAATGCTTGTACATACCTTAGAAAAATATCTACGGCTATGTCGGAACCAAGGAGACAGCAACAAATGCCAGGCAATAAATGACTGTTGGCTAAAATGCCGCCAATTGCAATGGCAAGCAACAAAGGCAGCCAATGTGTTGGCAACCGAGCACGGGCAACATACAAGAACAACCAACAACAACAACAACAACAAGAGGGTTGACATGTGTGCGACATTTGCGGCAGAAGACAAAGGAGAACGACTGAGAGGTTGAGAGTTCGGCTAATGTTCCAGTTGCTTTGGTTTCTGTGCTAAAATGTTTTGTCTGGATAATAATCTTGTAACAATCTAGACGATTCTCTCTGTCTCCGCAGAGGCATAGCCCGCCCATACACTCTTTATAGGTCATATCACATTACAGGTCCCATTCGTATATATCTACGAACGCATGCATGCTTTGCTACAAAGTAGTGTATGCCTTGCTAATATTTACAGGTGTGCAAAAGGTAAACAAAGAAGCGGCAAAGAACTGTGCATAAATTACATATGGTAAACGGTTTTAGCTCATCGCTGATACGGAATGATATGGAATATACATACATATGTAAATTTATACATATATACATATGATAAAGCAGTCAAGGCGCCAAAACTGACTTCGTGCGAATAAGTGAAAAAGTGTTTAAATAACAAAGATATCGGCGAAAATAATAGTGTAATAAAACTCGAAATATAGAGCGAAAGTGTCTATAAAAATAAATACCAATTGCCTAAATTATGTTCAATTGGGAGCTGAACAAATTTAAAGAGAGACCTGTCTAATCCAGCTTGATTATGATACTTTAAGCTATTCAAATATATATATAATTTATATATAAATATATACATACATAACATTTAGACTAAAGATATTTCAATACGAAATAAAAGAGCGCACAAAATGTGGATTAAACTGTGCCTTTACCTTGCGATTTGTGGAATTTGTGGAATCTGTTGGCTGGTGGAAGGTAAGTTAAAAGAAGAATTAAGTTAAAAGAAAGAAAATTGATTCAAATATTAAAAGTTTTTATTTCCAAATTCTTTTAGTTCTTGGACATTTTTGTAGTTGCTGGTGCGTTACTCTTGGTTTTCAAGACGTTCGCCCGATTATGAAAACAAACAAAATAATTAGCCGCATGTAAACTTAAAAGTAAAAACTAACAAACTGAAAAATAGTGAAATTCCACAGCTAAATGACGTCGTGCAGGCTCTATAAAAATCAGAGAAAAGCTCTGCAAGAAAAGGAAAGAGAGAAATGTAAATGTTAATGCTAAGACTTTAAAACACGTCAACATTGTTCTGGTCCAACGATTTATGACGAATAAAACTATTTACGTGACTTACGGATAGGCAAAACGTAACCAGAGCTCTTCAATGGGGGGTCTATGCAAATGGCGTTTTCCTTTTCTGGAACACCACTCGAAGTGGAGTAGACAGCTCTAAAGTTATTTACGTACTGCTCCAGTTTTGAGTAGCATTAATTTCGGTTCATTACATTGTCATACATCACTGATTACGAAGATATACATATGTATGTCAAATCTCTAGAAATTCTATTCGCTACTTTAATGGCATGGTTGTCACCGTTCTTTACCGGTTCGTCGGGTTGACCTGGGCCCCAAGAATTGATTGCGACATTTGTTGTATACTTATGTTGTTTAACCGTACAGAGAGCAATCAGAGACTGGCTGAAAAACAGCCAAAAGATTGCGGTTATGGCAATTTGAACCACGAAAAGCTGCGACCACAAAGCCCATTGAAAACCAAAAGTCAGTTTTCAAATATTCGTCGAGCGAAACACATTTCATTTTTCATGATGAAAATCATCAAGCTGAACGAAAATGTATCAAAGAAAACCAAAACAAAAACCGATTGCATACAACTACGCTGAACAAATTTGTTTTTGAACTTTGGTTTTTTTTTTGTTTTTTTTTTGTTTTTGGTAATTTGGAAACTTTTCTCTGCCCAGCTAACCGAGTGTGTCCCTTTCTCTAGTAGCAAGACCTCTCTCGCTCTCTCTCTCGCTCTCTCTCTCTCTCTCTCTCTCTCTCTCTCTCTCTCTCTCTCTCTCTCTCTCTCTGTCTTTCTCTCTCTCTTCCCTCTTTCTCCCCCTCTCTCTCTCTCTCTTTTTTTTTTTCTCTTACTCTATCTCTCTCTCCATCTCTCTCCCTCCCTCTCTCTCCCTCTGTCTCTCACACATTCCTACTCTCTGAGTCTCATAATATTTATTGTAGGCGGCTTTTCACACACCTGGATAAAATTTGTTTATTTTATTTACATTTTGCAGTCACTTTCATTTAGTCAGTTTATTTTACGCCATCTCTTTGCGAAAACAAACAAAACATATAAAGTTTATGCAATGCTTGCTCATGTGTTTTTCTTTTTTTTCCTCAGTAACTACTTAATATCATCCAACTACTTTCGCGGATTTACGCTTCAGATATTTGAACCTTATGTTAGTTATTGTGGTGACTCCCAATTAGTCTTGCCATATAACTAATTAATGCAGTTATGCAACTTTTGCGCGGCACTTGTCAAAAATAAAATAAGAACGCTTCAGTCTGATGCAACGGACTGTATTATATACGCTCCTTCAAAAAGCTATGTCTATTTGTAGAGTGAGAGAGAGCCAAGCCTGAAGTTCTTGGTTCAAAAATTGTAATTATTAGTGTAATTTGCGATGTTCTATAAAGATCGCTTATTCACATTTGAATCAGCATTAAAAATCCATTGTATTGTATAAAATAGAAACTCCAGTTCAAGTTGAAAGAATTCATTATTTAAAGATTTTTCATGCAATTATACTTTGATCAGAGAAAGTCCGACTAGCGAGAATACGTATGACGAAAGATGTACTTTTATACTTTTATACTAGTTCGAATTGCTTTTCTCTCAGTTCGCTTAAAATTCCATGGGAAATTTGTAAATTACAATTATAAGAGCGCACGTATTTTCATAAATGCGAAATCTATAAACTTAACTTTCTTTTTCTTAGGAAAGTGACTTGAGTTAAGCGTGACTTATCAGCATATCTGAAAACTTTGACAGATTTTGCGAATATAGTTCCAGCTGTCAAATAATTGGATTGTCAAAACATTTAACTGCCAAAGAAAGTCTCCTTAAGATTTTATCATATGCATTGCCCAATGTCATAACAATTAACCTACAATAAAGATCTTGCAGCGGAGACGGCACGAGACTAAAAAACAAGCTAGAAGATTTCACCACATATGTGTGTGCGTACAGTGAGTCAAAACTGTTTTGGCAATCCAGCAATTTATGTTATAAAATATTTATATGTAAAAACAACTGCTTATTACACACATATATATACATGAGTATATATATATCATATTGTTGTCATAGTGAAAGAAAAAAAATAAGTTCGTTTTCAACTTGCAATTCGCTGGTGTGCCAATACATTTTTGACTCACTGTATATCATCCGCCAGCACTTAGATATGTCCATGGCTTTGCTACAAAGAGAAATTCTTGCCAGGGTCACATGATGAACCCTAACACTTTGCTCTTGAAACCACTTACCAGAACCGTTGGTTGTTATTCGAAAGAACCTAATGCATACGTATGTACATATGTGTGCACATACATATGTGTTTACTGAACAACTCAACATACAACCGGAACATAGTATAGGAAACAACTGCGTAGCACAGTTATTTATATTTTAATTAATTTTTGTTGCTCTGTCATTATGAAGAGGTGTTATGCCATCTTCTTATAATGAAAGAATTGTGTAGTAATGCAAGTTATACAGCTATACATATGTATGAATTATGCAATGGGTCGTTTAAACATAATAAACATGGGATTTGATCATGAGACCTTAGGTACTTGTAACAGCTTGAAAAAGCTAACTAAATCTACAAATCACACAATACATATGTGCACACAAAGAGGGGACCTCTAAATGAAACTTCCCAATTGCAGGTATACATATACATATGTATACTTATATACATATGTTTATGTATATACATATGTATATGTATATGTATTTATTTATATATATGCAGTGAACAAAATGTGATATTTTTTTATTTGATATTTGCAGATTTGAGTTTAGCACAATAAAAAAATGTTTGTAGTTTAATTTAATTTAATTTAATTTAATTTTTTTGCATGGCATAAAATATTGCATATTAAGAAAATACGGCTATTTATACATTTCTACTCTTCTTTAAAGGAGTTATTCGGACAATTAAATTTGTATGTGAGATTGCATTTAAATACATACATACAGACAATTTTTCTATACCTTTCCCGGCTCAGAAGGTTAAAATGGCATCTCTTGGCGATCTAATTTCAATTCTCGTACATTGCTGCTGGTGCATGCATAAGTTTGAGAGAGCAAAGGCCAGACATTGATCATAGTGGGGCTTTATAACACCGCTCGAAAACCACTGATATTGAAGTTCCATATTTTTGTTGATCAAACCTAAGCAGAGAGGACCTAAAAAATGCGAAGATGATCAAATTTGAGTTGTTAGTTATGTGATTCTTTTAACAATGGTGATCTGATAGAGCCTAAAAGTGAGGGTACTTAGGAAATACATAGCATCCTTGTACGAAATGTTTGCTTTAGATGCTTGTCTATAGATGTGCTCTATGGTTAGTGATAACGTAATAATAATAACTGCTCATAATTTGCAGTGCTCAAGTGGCGCTGCCTGCGCTCACTGAAGCAATTTAAAGGATCGATAAAGTTTTAATAAGAAAATAATAAACTGAATATACAGTAACACAATTAAATACTTATTATTATTATTCGGAAGCCCACAGCAAAGGCAGAGACAAAGCGTTCGAATCCTCAGGCCATGATTCATCCAATTGCCGCTGTGTAGGCAAGTCCAACGAACATATGTACATATACATACACACACATACATACACATACCTACTTGGACGGGCAGCTGATGGTCTTCAACACAAAGTTGGATTTGGCAGACAGCCACCACATCCAAATTGCAGCGAACCGTTCGCCAAAGAGTGAGAGATAAACGGAAGCTTAGTAGAGCGCATCGAAAGTACGAACAAACATGTCCGCCGATGGACAGTGTAGTACACTGTTACAATTTACTTAAAGCTCACTAATTGCTTGCTAACAGGAAATAGAGTAAAGCTAAAAGGGAAAGAGTAGCAAGAGAGAGAGAGAGAGAGGAAGACTGAGAGAGAGCGAGAGTGGCATGGGAGCTGCACATTTTCACTTTAGTTTTTTTTTATTATTTTCATTGCAGTCGCAAACGGAGCGATACTCGACTCTAGATGTTATTTAGAGGGCGGTGGTTCGGCGGAGAGCTTTCTGGCTACTGAAGATCTTGCAGTCGGCTCCATCATTGGCAAATTGCGTATTAATGGCGACCCCAATGCGGACACAGGTGACATTAATCTGTCGCTAAGAGAGAAGAACGCGCCCGTGCAGATTGTGGCAGGGACCAAGGACCTTGTTTTGTCGGTCGAGCTTGATAAAGAAGGTCTTCGAGGACCATCGTCGATCTATGTGAATGTCATTTGCATACGAAGACGCTCCACGGATCCGGTAAGTTAAATAAGTAGCAATAAGATTTGTAAGTCCAAAGAATCCAAGTATATAATTTTATTATATATTATATATATGTATTTAATTAACCCTCATTTTATATATATCAATTATTCAGTCTTTAATGTCAATGATCAATCAAACCTAAGGACCATTTTAATTAACCCCAACCTAGGGTTCAAGTAGGTCATTCCTCGAATGTTCGTGGAATAAAATTCTTAGACGCATTCAGCACCTGCAGAAGTTTCATTCCTTCATTCAGGCGGTGCACTCGACCAATCCGTAATGGGCAGCCAATTAACCTAAATCGAAGCCGGCTCCACTATTCCCTATGGAAGTGGACGTTGACGTTGGCTGTGCGTGTGCCGCTGTATAAGGGGCGTAATCTCGAAATACAAGTGAGGTAGTTAAATGAAATTGGGTAAACACGATTCGGAATGTTCACACTCGCATTTAGCCCATTTGCCCCATGGGAAAGGAATTTACAGAAGTTGCGGCTCTTTCTTGTACTCTATAAACAATTGAAAACTTTGCAGACAACGACGCCAATTTCAATTTTAGAATCAACATAACAGAAGGCAACTTAAACTTTTACTTCCACCAGGATGGGGATGAGGACGAGGTCCTGTGGTTTACTGTGGGCCCAGGCAGTGGCCATAAATTAGCCATTACTACTTCCGTAGTTTCTTTTGGGGGTTGCTCTCTAAGCTCTCTAAACATGCAAATATATGCGGTGTTTTTCAGAGGGGCGGGGAATAAGGGGGAGCAGGCCTGAGCTGTTGGCGCTTTGAACTCATTTTTGGGGTCAGTGACCAGGACTTGCCTATTGTTTGTGTGCCCGGCAGCCGGCCGCAGGGCTCAAAAGGTGTTTATCTTTAAACTCTCCAGTGAATGTGTAGCCTTTGTTCTTTATTGTTGCAGAGCTTCGTCATTCCCGTCAATGTTCGCGTCACGGACGTCAACGATAATGCACCACAATGGATTGGCACGCCCTATACGCTGACCCTCTCGGAGGTGACGGTGCCCGGTACACGCATACTTCAAGGCGCGCGTGCTGAGGATGCCGATCAGCCGGGACCCTTCTCCACGGTTGAGTATCAGGTACTGCCCGGTCCCTATGCGGAGCTGGTGCAATTCCTCAATCCGCTCGAGGGTACATTGGTGCTAAAGAAGGCGCTCGACTACGAGCAACTCCAGAACTTCACAGTCAAACTACGAGCTCAAGACCAGGGCACACCGCCGCGACATTCCGATACGCTCCTACGCGTGGTCATAACCGATGCGGATGATCAGAATCCGAAGTTTCTACGTGAATCCTACAGCGCTGAGCTACCCTCAGATGGCCGGGCTGGCGAGCTGCGTATGCGACCCGAACCCTTGAAGGCCATTGACCAAGATGAAGGCATCTGTGCGCCCATTCAATACACCATTGTACAATCGCAGGATGCAAAGTACTTTCGCGTGCATCCACATAATGGAATCATTACACAACTCGCGCCCATTGGGTACTCAGATCTTACGCATGGGGCCACTCTGGTGGTGAAGGCGACTCAAATAGATAATCCGGATCGTTACGCTCTGACCACAGTGCAGCTAACACGGCCGGGCACCCACAGCGATCTCAGCTCGCTCGCGTTTGTTCAGAAACGTTTTGTGATGCGCATACGCGAGGACACGGCTGTAGGCAATCGCATACTAGCACTGCCCACCAACAAGCCTGGCAAGCACTTGAAGTACACTATTGCGGATCCCATCAATTCGCAGTTCTTCAGCGTTGGCTCGCTGGGCGAATTGGTGCTAGCGAAGCCGCTGGACTATGAGAAGATGACCAAGCACGAGTTTCAGGTCATAGCTAGTGATGGCCTGACCAACAGCACATCGGCCGAGGTCACACTAGAGGTGATTGATGTCAACGACTGGGAGCCGCGCTTCCGGGAGACACACTACGAGTTTATGGTGCCCAAGAGCGTAAGTTAGCACATGCTGATGCAATTTATTAATATTATTGAGCATTTCCATTCCGATTCCAGCAGTCTCTGCAGTCACGGGCGGACTCTTTCGAGGGTGTGTTGATTGGCAAAGTGGAGGCGGCAGATGGGGATCGCAATGATAAGCTGGAGCTATCGCTGCGAGGCCAGCATGCGGGTCTATTCGAAATCGATGCATCGGGCAACATCTATATGCGCCCGGAGCAGCTACAAAGCCTCAATGAGTCCACGGTACATCTGATTGCTATTGCTACGGACTCGGGTGTGCCGCCACGTAGCACCTCTGTTCCTGTCAGCGTCACAATGGAAGGACTTACTCTCGCCCAATCCGCGTGGAACAACAGCATGCTGGGCATGTTTGGCATGATTGTGGGCTTGTTTCTGCTGATCATCATGGCGCTAAGCTGCTATATTGTGCGCTCCAAGAAGCAACGGAAGAGCAGCTCTGGCGGCCTCAGCCTCGGACGTAATCGTGTGCACAGCCAAGCGCACAGTAGCGTTTCCTCTGCGAACCTGGTGACGCATGAAAAACTGGCGGGCAACGGCAATGGAGCTACTGTCACCAGTGGTGGCGTGTCCGTTCTGCATATGAAGCATCCCAGCAGCAGCATTAGCATGGCCAATCCAATTAACAATGGACTGCATCATGTGGGAAATGGCGCCAGCAGCAGCATGGTGCTCAGCAGTGCCAGCAATTTGTTAGAGCGAGAGCGTGAGCGCGAACGGGAGCGTCAACGGGAAAGCTATGCGGCAACGGTGCGCAGTAAGTGTAGTCTGATTAAAGCCCCACTATCCCTATCAGCCCAAAACATTCACTATAAGTAGTCTTCTTACCAGGCATCGTATCTCGCGCCTCTGCCAACGGGCAGCTCTACGAAGAAGACGAGATCGAGCACGACTCCCTCTCGCAGCAGGGTCAACAGCAACAGACGACGCCGGATAACAACAACCGCAAGACGGTGGCCGCTGTGACGGGGGGCATAACAACGATCACAACGACGACAAACAGTGCTGTAAATGGGAGTGCAGCTGCTTCCAATCTGCTGACAGCGTCGGATACGATGGGTTCATCCGAAAACAATTTGACAGTCTACTTCTAGTTGAGCACAGCTGAAGACGATTTCACCCTGTAAATATTGCTGGCCTTAATATAAATTCACTAGGTCTTAACTCTAAGTCGCGCTTAGGTTTTATGCCCAATCATTGTAAATGTAGTAGACCAAATATAGCATTGTAAACATCCAGCACATGTAGTTTAAGCAAGCGAATTCCATTGTACAATTTTGCTAACCACTTTTTACGATACTTTTTAACGACAAGCTTAAGAATAAACTCTATTGAACTAATCAGATACTCATTTCTTGGTTGGGATCTGGGCTGCAGACTAAACTGTATTTGCATCGAACCTTAGTACGATTTGTTCAATAGTCTTAATCTCATTTTCAGAATTGATTGCTTTTATTTCGTTTGGTCTTAAACTCTAATTCGATTCAGCATAAAGTTTACAGCTTTGGCTTGATTTGAAATTATTATTTTTTAAATGAGAGAACAAAAGTTGCATTATGGACAAATTTAGTAAAACAATTTGGCTTATACACTAAAATCAGTAAATATGAAAAGACTTTGAACTGCATCAAATACAAAACAGGAAAGCAAACTCGATTTGGCATAATAAATTATGTAGATTTAGTTACATGAAAATTTACTTTTGTTTCTAGATTCTAGCTGCCATTGCGCGCTTTTTTACGCTTAAGCAGATTAAAATCTCCATATTTTATGTGATTGTCGGTTAGGAATGGCACATAAAAGGCGCGCAGCACCTTATGCGACTTTTCTGGTATGAGGAATGGCAAGGTTTTCATTATAGACCAGTCCTTTGTTCGCCTCGAATAGCTCGGTTCGAGTGTTGTGTATTTCCCCTCATCGAAGTCTAATAGAAAGTGGCACTGATCGTAGTCAAAGTACATGTGCTCGTTTTCCAAGTTCTGGTCATTGAAATAAGGATGCACGACCTGAGTGGCGTTGAAACCTTCCGTGTAATAAGCGGGCAACATGCCTCGGAATTCCGATTTAAGGAAACGCAGTCGGAAATTGCGTGCCGGGAAAAAGAAACTTCCTGGATAACGATACCAGTCTTTGCCAATGCATACATTATAAATTTCATCTGGACGATACTGTGGCGAAGTCTTAAATTGATTGAGCTCCAGCATTAGATCCATTGGCGCATGATAATTCCGATAGAGAGCAAATACACGTGAAAGACCCAATAAAGTGCTGGCCACCATCACGACAATGGCTATGAACATACTGTGATCTAAATAGTGAATGCCCGACTTGATTTTAAACACAAGCGTCTTGATACGGAAGAAGATACGCTGATAGACGTCCACAGTGATGGCGCCACAGAGAGAGATCATTGGGTAAATCGGAAACAGGAAACGCTCCTCTTTATGGGGCTGTGCCAAGAAAACCAGCAACCAAAGATAAAGAGGCGCTAATGAAATATAGCGCGGAAAGTTGAGCGTCGATTTAAACTTTGCAGGCACAATAAGATAATCCATGACCAGCATAATCGGTAATTGCAGTGCCAAAAGCTAAAAATACGATAAAATTGAGAAATTTACTATTGGTATTTACTACAAATGTAGCTCTGTTACTGACCCAAATAATGTTGAAATTGAGGAAACCATTGAGGATGTAGTAGCTGAGAGGCTCAGTGCCAAAAATGTTGGGTCCGTGGCTAGTGAAGACATTATACCAAACGATGTTAAGTGGCGCGAAGGTCAGTTTGCCAAAGTATTTCGTATCGATGGCAATCATGGGCAGTGCAATTGTTAAGCCAGAGATCAATGTCCACTGTAAAAAGGTACGCCAATCGCGTTGCCGAAGCAGCAATTCCAACACTAATGGAACTCCAATTAGCGCCGCGAATGGCCAACCGAGCAGCGCTGAAATAGCAGTAAAGAATATGGCCAGGCTGTAGCGCTGCTGCCACCATGCAGCCAAAGCAGAGCAGCCAAAGTACATAGAAAACGAGGATGGCAACAGCGCAGTACTGGACACAAACATGCCCACACTAAACAGCTGGAAGATCAGCCAGAGCCGACCGACGTGTATGCCGAACTCCTGGCATATAGATCTGTAAAGCAAGCAGTCCAACTAATTTCATTCTTTACAAAGTAGCAGACTTGACTCACTTGTACATAAAGCGCTCCATGAGTGCACAGCCAAAGCCCAGCATGCAACGAACCATATAAAAAATTAATATGGGACTTGGATTGAACAACTTCTGATAGATCCAGCCGGGGACGCCTTGCAGTAACAGATATGTGTAGGAGCGCAGGCCGAATTGCGGACTATACTCCCAGGTTTGCAGGCCGTGGCCGTTGATAATGTAGTGTAGCGGTTCCCAGTAATTAAAAGTCTCATCACAGTCTGAAATGTACGCCCAAATTGCGCTACAAAGACGCGCGCTCACAAATGTTTTGAAGGCCGTATGAACACTTGGCATAATCGGATTGGGGCTAGACTGGGTCTTATCCGCAGAATTCGATGCAGTCGCTGAGTGTTTACTATACAAAAAAAAAGCATATAATCTTAGTTGTTATAGTCATTGTATTATTATGATTCAAAGTACTTCTTCTTCTTTTCCTTTTTGCTGCCGGCTACGACACCGGCAGCTTCTTTGTTACCATTAAGACGTTTCGGTGGTTTTTTGGTGAGTATCTGGTTGTCAGCCTTATTAGCATTGTAGCGCGCTCTTGCCGCTGGCGGTGCCATATTTGATTATGTCTTTTACTAGCTGTTTTCCTACACACACAATTATCCTGAACAAGAAGCCAGCGTGTGAAACTGCAACAGCTGACAAAGTCTAAATGAAGCGAGTTGGCAGCAAGCTGTTTTGAGGTAATTAAATAAAGAGGTGTACGCAATCAACTTGAGTTCATAACAAATAAAATTGTACATCGCTTGACAAATGCATCTGTTTACTCGGACATAATATATTTTTAATACAATTGAATACCAATACAAGTTAAACAATTTAATCATAATATTATGCTATGACGTCATATATTTGGTGGTATTAATATTGCTAGCTTCTCTGCGCTACCTTATCTAATTTAGTAGACATGTTATTCTTGTGAGTTCTTCTTATCACGGTGGCAACTCTGTCGTCACAGCTGGTCAATTTACATTTTGCAATTGCAGTTTGTACATGCCGTTGCATTAATAAATAATTTGAGCCACAATATGTCTAAGGAAGATAAGGACAAAGTGCAAATTATCGACAAGGAGTTGGATCTCTCAAATGCAGGACGTGGCGTTTGGTTAGTCAAAGTACCCAAATACATTGCACAAAAATGGGAAAAGGCGCCGTCCAATATGGATGTTGGCAAGCTGCGAATCAGCAAAACGCCTGGTCAGAAAGCCCAAGTTTCACTTTCGCTCACGCCTGCTGTGCTCGCTCTGGATCCGGATGAGAAAATACCCACAGAGCACGTTCTCGACGTGTCACAGGTTACAAAACAGACTCTTGGTGTTTTCTCCCACATGGCACCAACAGAATTGGCGGCTGTGACCGCCAGCAATGGTAAGGAAAATGGTTCAGCTGCTTCCGCGACGCCAGACAGTGAGAAGCTATATATGGAGGGTCGTATCGTGCAAAAGCTTGAATGCAGACCCATTGCCGACACTTGCTACATGAAGTTGAAGCTCGAGTCCATACGCAAAGCGTCCGAGCCGCAGCGTCGAGTTCAGCCAATTGACAAGATTGTACAGAATTACAAGCCAGTTAAAGATCATGCACACAATGTAAAAATAACTGTTTTTTTTACTTTATCTATTATTTCTTGCTATAAATATTTTATATTTTAGATCGAGTATCGGGAACGTAAGAAGGCGGAAGGCAAAAAGGCACGTGATGATAAGAATGCTGTGATGGATATGCTTTTCCATGCATTTGAAAAGCATCAGTACTATAATATTAAGGACCTGGTGAAGATAACCAATCAGCCTATTAGCTACCTGAAGGAGATACTTAAAGATGTCTGCGATTATAACATGAAAAATCCGCACAAAAATATGTGGGAGCTCAAGAAAGAATATCGCCACTACAAGACTGAAGAGCAGAAGGACGAGGAAAAGACAAAATCAGACGGCAGCAGCGACTCCGAATAATTGTAGAATCTTGATTTTTATACCACCCCATCTATATATCTATATGTACAACTTTCAAATTTAACCACGTACTCAGTTAAGCGCAAAGTAAATCCAGAAGAATTTCTGTACAATTTTTATCGAAACTTCTGTCATTTTTAATACTTATAATTCCCGCCATCCCATAAATTTCAAACAAACTTGTTATTAGCTTTTTTACTTTTTTCCATTGCATTTAGATGCTTTCTTAAAATACTACAAAAAAAAGTTGATTTTGCACATTCATATGTATATATAATATATGTAGATGTAAATAGATAAATTTCTGCATAGGTGTACAAAATTTATTTTTGTCGTTAAAAAAAAATATTTTTTGCTACACTAGTAGATCAGGTACTTGATTTTCGTAGTACTATCAGCTCTACATGATTTCCAAAATATGTTTCTGGTTAATGTAAATTTCAAACCCTTTTTTTCTTGCCTTGCTGAAAGATTTTTAAAGGAAAATAAATGATAAAAATAATTATAAATGCAATAATAAATTGAAATATGGAATTAATAAATAAATGAATAATGTGGGTGAATTAAAAGTGAAAAGAAAAAAAATTGAAATGAAAAATATAAAGCAAAATTAATTGAAAGTGAGAACAGGAATTGTAAATGAAAAACTGAATGTAAAAGTAAACTAAAGCAAAAAAATCAAGAAAAATAATAGTTAACTGAAAATCGCAAAACTTGTTCAATCATAAGGAAATCGAGCTTAAATAATACTGCTTCAATTTGTTTTTTTTTTTACACTACAGAACATAAAGTAAAGTAATCTAAAAACTGGCAGCGTATAAAATAAATCTAAAAGTGAAATTTATGTTAAAAAAAAAAACACTCTTAGAACTAGACTTTGTACATTTGTCAAGACAAAAAAATTTATATACATATGCTATATATTTGTATATCGTCCAATATTGGATTTGTCAGTTACGCGGCTAACGAAGGTTTTTAATTTTGTTGAATGCCTGCGGAAGAGGCAGCCCTTGCATTATCAGCTGCTGTAAAAAATCATGAAGTTAGTTAGTTGTTTTTAAATATGCGTGATACACAAATAAAACGTTTACATTGAGAATGCCTACGGAGCGAACATCAAATTCTATACACTTATATAACGATCTATACACATATGATACAAAATTCTAATTCTATATCAAGAGTGAACCCATTAAACAGAAACTAAAGACAAAGACACGAATATTTAGTATACATCATCCGCTACGCATCGAAGGACCAGGCAGACACCGAAGATGCCAACCCAGAGTCAGCATCCTCTGGCCGTGCATTTGCCTTGGGCACCGGTTTTATAAGTCGCACGGTGTTTACATTAACTGTTTTAGGACTTTGCTGTCGTTGACTCGATGTTGTCGTTTTCTGGGATGTTGCTAATATCGGTTTTCCTCGTTGACCGACATTGTTCATATTTCCAATATCATCCTCCGGGTTCAGTTGTTTTCTCTCCGTGCTTATCAACATCATTTTGAACTGCCTGATCTCTATGGGCTTGCTTTTATCCCGTTTATCTATTTGTAGATCGACGTTGCCCTGGTTTGTCTACCATGGAATATTCAAAATTATAATAAAATATATAAAATATTGGTGGCATATCAATGTTATTTACCAGCAGCAATGAGGACAGCATATAGCAACATAGTTTGGTAGGATCCTTATCCTCTACAACGTCCGCCAAAGTAGCCACTCCACCTTTTTCCTGGCATTTCGATATAATTTCATCATTTAGGTCCCGTATACTAAAGTTTTGACGCGCATGCGCCGCTTCCAACGTGGGTGCAAGCCTACGATGCCAGTCAATAATCTGTAATTTATAACAGTTGATTAAAATACGAAAATATTAAATTTTTACAATAGCCTCTTCTTTCCCCGTGAGGTGCAGAACCACGCTTATTTTTTGAGGACCACTTTTTTCAAGATTCAAATAATGATTGCTAGCCAAGCTTCAAATACTCTTCTTTACTTTTTTCAATGTGTTCTGCTACCTGGTTAGCTTTGTCAATAGAATATGTAGTTTTAAATAAATTTTCTGTGATTTTAATTTAGCCCCCTCCATACTTGCTAACTTATTAGCTGTACAATATAAGATTGCCCACTATCAAAACTTTTCCTACCTTGGCGTCAGTCTCTGCATCTATGCTATTGCAGTTTTCTTCGAAACTCGAGTTGCTAGACTGTTCATCCCAGTCTTGATCCAACTCGTTGGCTGCATCCACATTGGACAATTCAGTTATGTTTCCTGCTGGGTCATCCAAAGAAATTACATTTTCTTCTATAATATCCTGGGCTATTGTGTCGTCATTATTTGGGTCTGTTTGATTTAATACTCCTGCTTCCAATAAAATGTCAGGTAATGTCATGTCCTTCTCTGTTTGCTCCGCACTCCTAGTTGGTTGAATTTCTACTGAGACCGATGCATCTTCTATTGCATTCAAATCAGGTAATCCTTCGGTTTCCACATCAACGATAATGCCATCATCCGCAGGCGAGTTGGCCAATCTAACCTCCTCCTGGTCAATGCCTGAATCGTACGTTGGACGCCTAAAGCCACGAAAGTCTACAAATAAAAGATAAACAAAAATTAGACCCCATCATGAATTGCATTTTTTTATATTAATATACTTTGTTCTGAATCAAATTCCATTTGATCCAAAGGTAAATCTGAAAAACTATTAAGTGATGTTGTGGAATTCGTGGGCGAGGTAGCACGCAGAACCCTAGGCGTAGGGGCAGCTTTCGGTTCAGCCTGTCTCTTAGCTGGGATGCGCTTTAAAAATATAATTAAATAATATAAAGACGTTTGGTTATTTATCGTCGGACATGCTTACCGCTTTCTTAAATATATCAAACTCTTTGGTTAGCTTAAAGAGGCAGCGTTTGCGGAGCTTTTTTTCTGGTAGCTGAAACAAATTTCGCTTAATTGTAAAGTGCACATCACGTTGCACTTGGACAATCTCGTCAACCGTTTCATTGATGCCGCTGAGTGCTAGCATTTCGGCATCAACGCGAACACTGAGCTTAGCTTTGTCTGGAACACCGGGCAGTATGTCGTGTACCATTACCTTGGGGGACAGCGACTGGAGACGCTGCTCTTCTATTATATCTGTAAGAACAACACCCTCGTCATCAAAAGATTGACCTGCACAATAGTTGGGTGCAGGCAGCAGACAACAAACGAAATACATACGCAAATAAAAGTAAAAAAAAATAAACAAAGAATGTGAGTCAAATGTCTACAAAAGAAAGGATTAACAAAAAACTTAGCCTGATTCTGTTTTATACAACACACGAGTCAACATAAACTGAGTGCATCTTAGTTTACCTGTTGGCAGTGTATCGCATATATCATCCATCCCAATGCCGGAATCTATTTGTAACAACTGCTCATTGCTGTCATCGACTTTGCTATTTGAGAGCTCTAATTGCAAGCGTTTCTCTACAGGCTGTGACTCCTGTTGGTTCTGCTGATCCAAGCGTGTGCTGTCCATACAACTTTCATCATTCATGGCTAACGAGAATGCTTCGAGATGGCAATCATTGGTTTGTTCCTCGGTGGTATCTGCCAACGTCATTGTCCTGAGTGAGTCGTCAACAACTGAGTCCGCCTGTACTTCATTGAGATCTGCACTCATATCAAAATTATCAATATCCTCTGTTAGTTTTATACGCTTAGGACTTTCTGCATTGGTGTCCAACAAATGTTCCTGCAGGTTTTCCAATTCTAATCGCAAACGCTTTGACTTTTCGTCTTCATCTGCAATCAGCGCGCGTTTCAGCAGTGACTTTTCTCCGTATCGAGAGGCGAGCATTTGATTCTCCAGCGCTATATACTCATCCAAATATTCCTTATTGCTCATGTTTCTGTGTAGAGTGTCTGATACATTCACTTGATTTCTGTTCACATACTCTTTGATCAGATTTAGACGATCGAATTGAATGTCTGGCAGAAGCGTATTGTATCTGGGCTCCGGATGGTAGGTGAACACTTTGTAGTTCTTCTTCTCATCCTGTTCGTAGGGATTGGCTGGGTCTACAATGGACGCATATTTCCATATATGCGACGGAGTGTGATCCTGATACATATGCTCAATTGTACGATTTCTATTTTTATTTGTTTCAAATCCAACGCGACTAAAACGCTTCTCTTCCGACATTATTTTAAATTTTTTCGGTTCCATCTTGTATGAGAACGGATCAAATTCTTTATGTGTGAGTTTCTTAACGCGTCGCTTGCGGTGTTCCTCCGGCTTGCTAGCATCTTTGTTACTATAAAACGCAGTACAATTAATAAGTTTATTGACATGAATAATGTAGAGTAAAGTGCGACAGCAAATAACTGAACCCGGAGAAAATGAAGAGAATGACAGGAGCGGTGATAAGCGAATACATGATAAGAAATGAAAACAGACTGCTTGGCGACAAATCTTGACACACTAAATCAATAACCACATGGCAACCGTTGTTAAGCTCTCATTTTACTCACCTATTGGTGTTATCCTCCTTTTGGGGATCTGCTTTAAGCAGAGCCTCGATTTGATGTTCCACTACCTGGTACATAAACTCCACTCTGTCTCCATAGACTTTACTGCAGTATTGAAGAACGCTGCCGGCGGCAGCAATAACCGAACGACGCGGCACACTCGACCCAGAGACTTGCCGTAAAAACTCATCCATATACTAACAATTGATAAATATCAATATCAAAATATAATAAATTGTATTCAGTTACTTACATAGGAAAGCGACAATCGCAAATCTGTTGAGAAATCAGTATTTTTTGATACCTCTTCCAAAAGCAGCAAAAGTGTTGCCAGACTGGAGGATTCATGGTAGGCAATAATAGCTTTGGCAACATTGGTGCCTGGTCTGCTATTTGCGATCTCAAGCAGATTTTTTATTACATCACTGGAACGAGCGCTGGGCAAGTCTGTAAGCAAATATAGCAATTCGTGTTTAATGTTTTTTCTTCAATGAGAACTGCTTAAATTAAAATTAAAATAGAGTCTGACTTAATCACCGTAAAATGTATCGCCATCTTCGCTTGGCCGCCGGCGATGACAGTTGTTCATGGCGAGAGCTAACAAGCAACTGCCCAACTGAACGAACGACTTAAGGCGATCTTTATACATAACGCACTAACAACAACTACACGTGTATATTCACACACACACACACAAGAATATTGGCGTACTTACACAAATAAAAATCTGTGAGGCCTATGCCAATGTGTATTTGCGTATGTATGAAATGCGTAGATGGCACTACCAACTGCTAGGGAACACTTACCTTCTTCAGTATCTACATCCATTTTAGTATTCGTTTAACGACGTAATGAGAATCTAAAAACAAACAATCACAGTTTGTATATATTTTCCGGAACTGTGCATGCCCCGCTGAATACATACAAACACACGCACACAAATAATACACAATTCACATGGGGCGCGCCAAGCGTCTCAGCAACTAAAATGGTAGCAAAGAAATTGTGTTTGACAGGAGTACAACACGAAAATCAATATTACCGCCTGTTAAATTAAATTTTATTTTATTATTTAGGAATTCTAAATGGCGCGAATCGTGTTTTCATTCCAATTAGCTCTGTATGTACTTATGTACTCACGATTTTGTTTTGCTCTCTCAGTTTTCGAAGCAAAAATTTTCTTACAGGGCTGAATGAACGTGTACTCAAGTGAACTAGTGCGGTATTGCAACAGTATTTTAAATCCAAGTTGGTCACACATAATTGCATTCGTATAATAATCGATTATTGAAATAAATATAAAACATATAGTATACTTTTAAAATGAAAATATAATAAAATAAAAGATATAAAAAAACCCGCAAATCAAATAAACTATGTTATTTTGAGTTCTATATAAATCTTCTTTAACAACACTGCCATTTGTCAGTTTTAATAAATGCGAAAGTGTATAAATCGGCATCAAATTATTTCTTTTTAAATAAATTTTTTTATTTTTCATTAATTTATATATTAAATAGAAACGTCTCTATTTACTGTTTACATGTATATTTGAAATTCATAGAACGGTTTTAGCTTCGATTTTATAAAAAAATCGATAATTCCGAATACATTGACGATATGAAATCAAATCACCTCTGCCAATGCTCATGTGTATGTAGACATTTAGCTCAACTTGGCAATTTATAAGTCTCCACTTTCTTTTCGGTATCAAAAACTAAACACTCAACATGGGTCGTATGCACGCTCCAGGGTAAATTGCACTTTCGCTAATTGTAATGAGCAAGAGTTCTCGAAAAATATGCCTGCCTTATGTACGAAAACTTGTGCTATGCTAATGTTGTACGCACTAGGCCGCTATTAAAACCGACAACAAAGCCATGAACACAAGCACATGTTGCCAGCGATAAAACTTGCGGCTCTTGTCACTTACAAGCGAGTTTAACGAAATGTTTTATTTACAGCAAGGGTATTTCCCAATCAGCTCTACCATACAGACGAACAGTGCCATCATGGCTGAAGCTCAACGCTGATGATGTCAAGGAACAGATCAAGAAACTTGGCAAGAAAGGCCTGACGCCTTCCAAAATTGGTATTTGTATTTGTGTTTACGTTTTGAGGTTATGTCAACTGAACTATCTCATCAATTATTATAGGTATAATTTTGCGTGATTCTCATGGCGTTGCCCAAGTGCGCTTTGTTAACGGAAACAAAATCCTGCGCATCATGAAATCGGTTGGTCTTAAACCAGACATTCCCGAAGATCTATACCATATGATCAAGAAGGCAGTTGCCATTCGTAAACATTTGGAGCGCAATCGCAAGGATAAGGACGGCAAGTTCCGTTTGATTTTGGTAGAATCCAGAATTCACCGGCTGGCACGCTACTATAAAACAAAGAGTGTACTGGCTCCGAATTGGAAATATGAATCCAGTACAGCATCTGCTCTGGTTGCTTAATTTGCCTACGCAATTTTTTACGCAATATAAATAAACAACAAAAACAAAAAAAAAATCATATTAAAAACAGTGTAAAATTCCTAAACATCTACGTGATTGATATCGTGGATGTAAGAAACAAACTATTTTGAATTCAAATTTTGGGAGTTGATCAGTTTTTGATAATGATAAAAACAAAGTGTGACCAAGTCGTATTTATCTGGTATATTTTAGGTCTTCATTTAAGTTGCATTTTCAGCAGGTAATTAAATGAAATATTTCTATTACAAGTGAAAATGGAATTGGAGGAAATGGTCGCAATACAATTGGAAGCTATCGAGGTGATATTAAATCATATACTTTATATTCGTGGCGTTTATCCTGCACAAATCTTTAAGAAACGCCGTGTCTACAACACACCAGTCTTTATAGTGGCCTTCCCAGCCTTAAGCTCTTACCTAGCAAATGTTTTGAAAACTGTGCAGCAGCATTTACGGAAAAATACAGCACAATTCAGGATGGAAATAACTATATATGGAAATGAGTCGGATCACATGGAAAGCTACTTTCTGGAAATGCAACGAATTCAGGCTGATCCAGCAGAGGATCAATATTTAATGGAATATGAACAACAGCTAAGGACTGCCCTATACAAATTCGCGGATCGAGTGAAACATTTACCAAAACTTGATCAAAATGCCAAGTTTAAAGTGCGTATACATACAACACAGGCAGCGTTTACAGAGCTCAGTCACGACGCGCAATACCAGGAGTTCCCCTGGCTACAGTCAAATGGGAGTCCTTTGCAGTTAAAGCAGCAGCAGCAAAAGTTTTCACTCCTACCTTTGTCTAGAGTTGACAAAGTGGGATTGCGAATGGAGGCACATATACATAATTAGTTTTACGACTTTAAGCATTGAATGTTTAAGTGTCTTGCCAGCTCATTTTGAATGTTTTCAAATAGCAATGGAAAATATATAATTGAAATTTCTGTCAACCTTAAGTAAAATGTAGAATGTGCAAAGGTAATTCTATCCTACAGATGTATATATAATATTTAAATATATTTATTTTGCAGAAATTTATATTATTTTTCTTTATACTTTGCGTATACAAACAAATATTTTCTTCACAGAGTTTTATATTGATAAACTTTTTAATAATAGAAAATATATTATTTAGAGCAATCCTTGACGCTTTAGGTCCTCAAAGGTTTTGCGGTTGACTACGTTTCCTAGCGTGTCCTCGAACTCCTCCTCCTGATCAGCGATCCACCGCTCGCTCTGCTTTTGCGACTTCAGCTTTTCCCACAACGTGATCGCATCCTCGATCTGCGTAACATTCGCAAAATGCGCCGTATTTGGTATGCCTAAGCACCGCATTCCGTGCGCGTGTCGCCACTCGGCAAAATGACGCTGGAACGCCTTGGGTCCCTTGTAAGTGAAGTTGCCACAAATCTCGCAATTGTAGCTGATATTCAGGCCATGCAACTTATATAGCCAGTACGGTATAGGTTTGCCATCCCAACCCAATGGCAAATTTTTGGGATTGAATGGCACATCATCTGCATCGGGATCATCGTCGTTATCCGACTCGCTAGCTTCGACATCGCTGTCATCCCGCTCGCCTCCAGTACGTGCCTGTTTGCGCTGCACATTCTCCTTGGTTGCCGCCCTTTGTTCGGACAGCAGCTCGGCGTATTTATAGAGCAGCGCTTCCAACTGCGCGATTTCTTTATTTCGTTCATTCTCGCGTGTTTGTGCGTTGGCGCTTTTTGCTGTTGGTTTCTTGGCCATTAGCGCGGGGTCCAAGGTACTCTTGCCCTTAGTAGTAAACAGACGTTGAGCCCTCTCCTCCAAAGTGCCGCCACACTTCAGGCCTAAGGCAACCAAGCCGGACTTGAGACGATCTAAGCCCAGGGAGGCCAGCTCTTCCCAACTTGAGAAGGCGGAGAGATCTAAATGCGCACCAGTGTTGGCGAGTGCCGATTCTGTCTCCTTCAACGACCAACCTGGGAAGGCACCCTGTAGCCATTGGCGCTGAAACTCAAGCTCAACTTTGACCAGCTCGCTCTCAAGGTCAAGGAGCGGCTGAATGCGTAATATGAAGCTGTGTAGATAATGGTTAAGCGTTTCAATGTACTTGCGGTATTCACGATTTTTACGCTCACGTGGTATGTCAAAGACATGGTCAAAGGACATTAGGTACGTGATGTAGTCCAACTTTTCAACGCCCCTCAAATTTAAATAGAGTTCATAACATTCGTTTAAGTCCAAGTACCGTCCGCCGCCTTCCTCGTCAGTAAATTCGACTAGAGCGCTCATATCATCGGGATTATTGTAGACCTTTATCATCTCTTCAAACTCTACTGAAAGGGGAACACTGACTTCGGCTGGATGGGATTTGTAGAATTGTTTTATTTGCTTCAGTCGGGCATAAAATTCATTGAACTCATTTGGGCCGGACAGTGCTGCAATCTCAGCCTTTCGCTCATTATCCTTGTCCTCATACAGGTCACGCAGCTGTGTGGTAGCATTGTGGTGAAGTTCCATTAAATACTTTAGCCGGTGTTCACTATGGATGCGCTCCTTTTCGCCGGGCTTTTTCGTAGCATGCTCATCCACCATTAGTTTGATCAAACGCTCTCGCTCTTCATGGTACCGACGCTGCTGTTCTAGTAGCGTCTCCATTATGCTGATTACTTTAAACAGAAACCGCTATTTGCAAACAAATAACAAATTTTCACAAAGTAGCGTGTGTACATACGTACTTAAGAGCTGTACTTAATGTATCGATAATAGTGATAACAATTAAGAATGTGTAATCGATATTTAAATTTTATATTTATTAATGTATTGAAAGTAATTTTTGTGTACATATTTTTTATTGTAGAACGAAATAAAACATTATTTGTAGCTATTCTCAAATATATCTTTTAATGATAATAATCGAATATTAAAACGATTTATTATTATTTCAGCTGATATATGAAATATTTTCATCAAAGCTTTCGATTAATGTTTGCTTCACCCTTTGGTACTTTGCAGCACTGCACATCACGACGTAAAAATCATATGATCGATTAGTGGTAGTGAAAAATTCAGACGACGGGCAGAAGGCACACACACTGCAAGTACGTTTTCGGTTTCGTTTTAGTCTCGTGTTAAATATTATTTTGTAATTTTACTGGCATGTTGTATAATTAAGATATTAATTAAAGAGTTGAACATTATTACAGGCACGGTAGTACGTGAATTCCTTCGGAACTATTGAATTACTATTTCGATTTTGTGACAAGTGAGAAAAGCAATAAAGATGGCTTTGAGCGACGCTGATGTACAAAAACAGGTAAATAACAAGTGTTAACGAAAAATATTTAATTGTACACAGAATTTAAGGAAGTTAAGCATATGAAATAATTGTTTCTCCAATTGAACATATGAATTTCAATGCCACAGATTCGGTAGCAGTAAAGATGGCGAAGTCATGGGATTCTCGCCGTAGTCATGTGAATTATAGGTGCAATTTTTTCAATCGCTAAACATTTAAAAATCGAATCAGCACTGTCATTTATTATATTATGTTCATATAATACAAGGTATATATATATATCTGAGCCAATTAAATATGAGCTTAATGTTGCTGTGGGTAAAAAACGAAGTTAAAAATTTTTGTCAAAAGCAAAATGCTTATTGGTCATGTGACACGCACTACACTTGAGCAGTGTGCTAAAGCGAGACAACTAGCGCAGTGAATACACTATTGCTAACGCAGTCACACGACTTGACTGTGAATGCACTTGTCGCGCCTTATCAATGCCATTGAATAGTTTTACTAAAAGTAAAAACATTAAATTAAATGTATATTTGCCCATGTTAACGTAACGAATTGTGCCGGGCAACATCTGCTAATTAAGTTTGTGATCTACACAAATATATATCTCTAGATATAAGTAATCATGTGATTAACTTTAAGGTTTGGTTTTATACAATGTTTTGGGCGTTCATTATTAATTTGTTTTCATCCCATAACTTTAATACACTTTTGTTATAGATCAAACATATGATGGCATTCATTGAGCAAGAGGCCAATGAAAAAGCGGAAGAGATTGATGCCAAAGCCGAGGAAGAATTCAATATCGAAAAGGGACGTCTCGTCCAGCAACAGCGTCTCAAGATAATGGAGTACTACGAGAAGAAGGAGAAACAGGTTGAGCTGCAGAAGAAAATTCAATCCTCAAATATGCTCAATCAAGCTCGCTTGAAGGTCTGTCCCTACATGTTCTAAATAAAAAGAAAAGTCTAATATGTTTTTTGTTGCTTACAGGTGCTTAAAGTGCGTGAAGATCACGTGAGCAGTGTGCTCGATGATGCACGCAAACGTCTCGGTGAAGTCACCAAAAACGAGTCCGAATACAAGGCCGTACTAAGCAAACTGATTGTGCAGGGCCTGTATCAAGTGATGGAACCTAAAGTAATCCTACGCTGCCGTCAAGTTGATGTACCCCTCGTCCAGGATGTAATCCCAACATCTGCTGAGCAGTACAAAGCCGCAATGAAACAGGATGTTGAGCTTATTATCGATGAGAAAGATTATCTAGCAGCCGATACCTGTGGCGGTGTTGAGCTGTTTGCCTTGAACGGACGCATCAAGGTACGTAGCAAAAGTCTTGTTGATATATCCTCTTTATCTTTATATTATTTCTTTGTAGGTGCCAAATACTCTGGAGTCCAGATTAGAATTGATTTCGCAGCAACTTGTGCCAGAGATCCGTAACGCCTTGTTTGGCCGCAATGTTAATCGCAAATTCACTGATTAAAATTTTTCTTTAAGTGCAAAAAACAGTAAAAGAAAAATAACAATACCAACATCAAAGTTCAAGCTTATAATACCAACAATAATAACAACCACAATAAGAGAAAAAAACCTAAATAATGGAGGAATACGAAAACTCCTACTCTTGAACTCATTTAACAAAATTGTGTCTATTAATTATAATTATTATTGCCGTTGTCTTTTTATAGTGAAGCAAAAACCTTTTGGTCAGATATGTGAGCTACAATTATGTGTTATACGTACTTGCATATTTGCCAACTATTACAATATATATATACATATATATTTTAGAGTATATTTCAGATAAAAAAAAAGTTCTAACTGCATTCAAATCCGTAAAAGAGTTTGTTAAAGTTTGTTTTTTTTATGAACTAACCGGCGTAAACAATATAAGCTAATCATAATAACATTCCTCAACATTTTGCGATCCGATTTATTTTGGTTTATTTTTATGCATATATATTATAATTCTTTGTAATTATCCTTATTATTTTGCCTTTGTAATTTTTGTTGTACATTTTTATTTGTAATTTTCTATTTGTTTATTATTGTTATCCTGTTCTATTGTAGACATGTTATTCAATTGCAATGTGCGTTCGCAGCGGCAACAATCTAAATCAATCAATCAATCCATATATGTGCCACTTAAAGGCTGCATGCGCACACAGCATTATTGTCTACCTGTAACCGAAATGCAGTTCGTTAACATTTCGCTGGCCGGTGGACAATGTGCGCTTGCGTCCTTGCAACTGGCACATGAGAAACAGCATCAATGTCTGTTGTTGAATATTTGAATTCGAATTCAAATATAAATACAAAATATATGCGAATACACAGTTACAACATCGAAAGCACGCATCATCAGTTAAAGAAGTATTGCCAAGTGGCCAAGTAGCTAAATTTGTTAAACATTTAAATTATCCTCAATGTTTTACCTGCTTCCAATTCCAAATCATATAAAGAAATACATATATATATATATATATATATATATATATATGTATATATAAATATATATATAAATTGAAAATAAAAATGGAAATTATTAAGCGCAATTTATATTTAGCTGCCGCTGCTGTTGCACATTTGCTTTATAAAACGCACGTTCATATCTGGCTCTAAAAACAAAAACAAAAACAATTGTATTTTAAATGTTTGCGTGTTCACGAAAAAACAAAACTCTAAATAAGAAAAATAACTACAAATTTAGCATACAACAAATACCATAAAATCAATAGCATATGCATTATAATATAACATTGAGTAAAATGAAATACAAATGCAACAAAATTACTTTTAAACTTAAACAAAATTTATGTTGAATAAAAACAGTATTTCCAAAAACAAACCCTAAACTTTTCACTCTAATATGTATTATTGTGTTTACGAATAAATTAATTAGCTCCTATCCCGAATCAACGCATGAACGTATATTGAGGCGAGGATCAGTTTAGTAACATTGTATAAATTCTATTGATTTCATCTTATTTTTATTAAAAGCTGCAGCAGTAGCACGTTATTTTCCAAACTAGATATATGTGCAAAAAGTCTGGAACTAAAATTTTCACAGTATTCACTGATTATTGATCCTAACTCTACGTTCTTACGTAACAAAATTACCATATACAAGCATTCTTCTAGTATTCTGAAATCACATACTCCATAAATATATAAAAGCACAAAATAGGTAGTTAGAACTGCCATAATATAAAGTTGATAACCCATTAGAAAGTAACATACTTGACTTAAGAAAGCTTAATAATTGTAATATTGCGGTTATTTGGAAATAGCCCTATCTGAAACAGCCTGCAGAACCTGCTCTAATATGGAACATACGTATTCTTGGGCGATCCATTTAGGATACAGATCACGTTATTGTAGGAGTATTCTGTTTGCTAATTAAAATATATGCTAATTTTAAGGGATTTTCTCAAAATTAGGAGCAATGACTTAGAATTGAACTTCATTGCATTGACTCTCACTGCTCTCCCCCAACTTATAATAAAATAAAACAAATTGTAAGTTTTTTGTTTTAAATTTGTTGACTTTAATTGTATATTTTTTATGTATGTATATTGTTTTCCATGCAATTGCCTTTTCAAAATTCATATTTCCCCAGATTTCAGTTGAGATGTTTTTTTATATCTTTCTCATCTCTTGAAGATGATCCGTTTTAGCTTGTCTTTAATGTCTCGATGTCTAACTGCATAAATTGCATTCACTATTTTTCTAAAAGATCTGACCATTTTTTTAAATCAATACTTGCTGACTTTAAATTAAGAGAATTTACATTGAATGTGTTTGTTTCTTTTTGTTTTCAGAAGTAACTGAATTATAACAAGATTTTTCGCACATATATATATGTATAAATAATTTGTCCAGTTTTTTTTTGTGAAATTCACTTAAATATTGCTCAAAATGAAATAAATTTAACAATTTTAAGTGCACATTTTGAAATGGAGAAAGTAGTTTTGGAAAACTATTAAACGGTGTACAGTTAATTTCGAATTTGTGGCTTGGCTCTCTCCTCTCTCATTTTCGACGCAGAGTCCATGGGGTATTTATTTTTTGTTTAACATCTAGGAAAATTATCCAAAGGGGAGTGTAGTTCGGTTGGCTGTTAATGCGAAATATATGTATATATATATTTATAAACATATATATAATGGATGTGGCGGCTCCGTATAATTGATGTTTTAATGCCGAGATGTTGGACTGCGTTCTTAATATGTTGGTTAGTCACCTAACTTCTGCTCATCCTCCGATTCAGATTCTACAAATGAATAAAGTGAGAAAATATACACATTATTCAAAGAACAAAAAGTTATTTTTGTATTAATTTTTGTTTGAACGATTATTGGCCAAATCTAACTATGTTAAGTTATATGGACACCCAATCATTCTTTTGCTCTGGCATACCCTTTAATTAAGTGTTACTCATCGGGAGCATATACTATTGATCATTATTTTTAAAAGGGTATGCACATTTGACTATAAAAATTAGTAATTAAATGTTTGTCCGAACGATTATTGGCCAAATGTAACTATGTTAAGTTATATGGACACCCAATCATTCTTTTGCTCTGGCATATTATACATGGGCTTTTTACGACTTTGTCTAACTAAAAAGTTGGTAAGGAAATATGCGCAAATAGTTTCGAGTGTCCAGGCTTTCATTGGCCTTCATTGTTTATTGGTTTTTAAAAACAACGAGGCAAGCAAAAAACCCATATGCTATTGCAATTTTGTACAATGAAATAGCCACGTCAAAAGGCCATACCATTCTCATAAAATTGCCAAGCCGCGTATAGAAACATCTAATAGTCTATATAGATTTTTCAGATACTAACCTTCCTCGGCAGACTGTAGCCATTCCGCGAATTTGCGCATTTGTTCAAGGAAGTGCATCTTGCCTTTGTTTGAGTGCCCGTCCTTGTACCAGCGCAAGATAATTTCTTCAGACAATACTTCGGTCTTGTAGAACAATAAGATGATCTTTTGGAACGCTTTCATGAAATTCATGTTTTCGTAACAGAATTCTTGCACTTTCAATATCAATGCCAATTCTGAACGATCCGTTGAGGCAAATGCCTGCAGTAGGGTGCAATATGTCTTTAGATGACGTACTGCTTGATCTGTGACAAGCTCCTCCTTTTTGTTCCATTCTCCCAACGACATTATTGTGGACCAAATCTAACAAACCGAATGAAATAGGAATATATAACAATTTATAACTTATAAATAGCTTATATCATTAAGCTTACAATAACAATTATCTCATGATCAGGAATGTTGGTACGTTGTGCAAACTCTTTGATGTCTGCAGTTATCTCATTATGTGCCTTTTCGTCGTTAATATCATCAATGAGGGTCTGCTGCAATTCACGTTTGGCCTCTTGGCTGGCCTGCGCTTTATGCAATTTAATTATCTCATTGAGTTCTTTGTCTAGAAAAACTTGTTTAAAATATTCCTCAGTACGTTTGTTTAGTGGGAAAAAGTCCATAAGTCTGCAAAAATAATTACAATGAAATTAGTTTTATATGCAATACATTGTAGTTTTCTTGTTTTGTGCGAAATAAAATGGGCACCCAAATAAAGTAAATAAATTTATTTGCGAAATGCATTAAATTCCATGTGAATTGCTTAATCTAGGAATGTTAATTAAAGATTAACAATATATGCATGTAGATCTTCCTGAAAACATTCCAAAGTAAATACTTATAGTACTTATATGCTTACTTGCTTTCCAGTCCACCCTTTTTAAGCGCCTGAATAAGATATGCAATGCCCTTCTCTTGCTTGAACGTCAAAAACAGCTCCAATAAAAATTCGAGTGCTATGCCATCTTTGATCAGATGCTCATTATTTAGTACCAGCAATACATTTGGCGGTACAGAGCCATTAACTTAAAAAGATATAAGAGTGGGAAAGGCAATTATTAAATTGTATATGTGCAATTGTTAACAGCTGGGTTACAGAGTTGACAATGATTTATTCAAAAATCTAACAAAACAAAAAAAAAAAAAAATAAGTAATTGTCCAGACGATAGCCTAACTTTTTTGGTGGTTTTATACAATATTTTTATTGTTTTAATTAATAATCAAAAAATGTTAAAATATTTAGTTTATAACATGAATTATTGTCCTTGGGCTCGTGGCTTTTGCATTTGGTTTAATTATTACTTGCAATAGTCAGTAATACCAAGAGTAAAAATATAATATTAGTCAACTGTGAAGCGAATTCATGATTTGTATGTTCAGAAACCCATTTAATATAATAGTTGACTATGATATGTATTCATAGATATTGTAATTATATAGAATATAATAAGCGATGCTTACCTAACCAGAGCGCAGTCATGCGCGCAAGTTTAATACGTTCACTTGGCGTAAAGCCCTTTACGAATAACAAAACTTTACCCATCTCCTCCTCGAACATTTTCTCAAGGTACTTGTACCGTCTAATGAGTTTAACAAACACCTGGAAAAAATATTGTATATATTATTTTAAATTTATGGCATAATTAAAACTTGGTTTGTAATGTAAATAATAGTCATTGTCGCAACATTAGAAATCTTTAAGGATCGAGTTTTCCGATTAACTAAAGACAAGTAAAATGAGGCGTTTAATTTTGCATTATTTTGACACCGATAATATTACAAGTGAGTATAACCGGTTCTAATAATATGCAGTCGATGTTTATATTAATTTAATTTAGAGATATAGGAGCGTAGACTGAAATATTCCCGATTTAACAAATAAAAATGTTTTAATATATACAACTGTGTAAACGTATTTGATATATTTATTTGTTCTATCAGCGTCCAGGAACTATGCAGATTATCCCACGCTGCACGACTTCTATTGGTTGTCTTGTCGCAACATTAGAAATCTTTACAGTGCACTTTTTTATTTAACAAGGTAAAGACAAGTAAAATGAGGCATTTCATTTGGCATATATTGACACCGATTAGCTGCATAGTCCAATAACCGGTTCTAATTAATATGCAATGCTCCTCTAACTGTTTCTACGATATATAAGAGATTTACTAACCTGCTCATGGTTGCGCATTGACTCCATATCCTCGGGTGCATCGAATATGCAGTAATTTGTGCGTGGCTTTTCGCCATCCTGAGATATAGAACCACCAGGGACTAATAGACCACCCGCAATCAATATATCAAACAGCACTTCACCGTAACGACGATAATCGAGCTTGTTGCCCGCGCTGTCTAGAAATTTTGAGATTTGATCCAGGTCGCCTTCAGTTTTTTCGAGACCAGCAATGACCGCATCACGGAATCCCGCTGGGTCATATTTTTCTCTTTCATCTGAACACGAATGCAAATAATTGTATTATATTTAAAAATATTTTAATTCTAACCTTAGCCTATATAAAACTTACCTCTTTTTCTGGTCTTGATGCGTTGACCCGATAGCACTGGTCTTTCAGTTTTTTGACTCATACAATAAATTGCTGTATATATGGATGGAATAGGAGGATAAACAATTTTTTTAAATATATATTTTTTTTAATTTATATTTTCTTAATTGAATGTACATACAGTAAATATATCTATTTATATGACGTGATTCGCAAGGCTACTGAGTTTCTATGCATGGGAATGCTTACACGTTGAATAAAATCGTGTGCCAATGCTATCTAACCTAAAAAATATTGTTTGCTTGCTTGATCGTGTGTGTGTCCAACTCACAAGCACACTCAAATCAAATAATCTTTTTACTATTTGATAAAGCAGAAGAGCGAATGAAAGGCAAATTGCGAGAACTTGCCTACAGTAAAGACGAGTAAAGAAACACCAGAATAAAGAGAAAATTTTCAAAATATGTATATAAGCGCGTTGACTTTGTTACTGACAGCGCGCGTTTGCGAACGAGGTCAACGAATGCGTATGTAATATATAATGTATGCGTACACACACACAAAGGATTTGTTTAAGCGGTTTAATTGCAGCCAAATTAAACTTACACTTTCACTTAACGGAAAGAAAATTGCCAAAGATCTTGCTTCCGCGTGCACGGTCCTTATTGTATTGTTGCACTTGTGTGTGTGGGATAGATTAGTTAGGAGGTAACTAGTTGAACTATAAGCGCGGTTATAGCAATTATTTGTAGTTTATATTTTTCTCAAAATTGCTGTATACTTATAAATGAACTGTAAAATTGACACGCACGCACACACAGAGACACTCAACAGTTGAGAGAGGGAGAGAGAACACCGCAGAAATTGCTACTGATTTTATTTTATGTTTTAATATTAACTTGAACAATTTTGTTGCTTTCAAATTCAGTCGTACGTCAAAAATTCTATTTTTAATAAATATCACAATCGACTACTGTATACATACATGTGTATTCTTTTCTGTTAAAGTGTTTTTTGACGTACTAGCGCCTCTTCTGCGCACACCACTTTGTTAAACGAAATTCAGAAAGCAAATGACACACACAGTTCGTTGAATGCCGACGATAACGACACGACAACGACATGTGGTCGGCGCCATTTTGTGGCAATACATTGCCGTTCAAACAACGCACACATGTATATTCAAGACTGTTCATATACTCTGTCTGTGTGAACATTAATTTCGAGGTTCTACTTGTCTGGGCTTTTGCAAACGCTATAATAAACTAGATCTTTTGCGAATGTCGTTGAAAATTACACGTACTCATTCACAGCGACTGCTTTCTCTTCCGCCATTAAAAATTATGAAAGCGTATTTCATGGCTTTTATTTAATTAAGAGGGTACAGTCGCACTTCTATCTTTATCAAGCAATGAACGCAATTGTGTTGAAAATGAATCATCATGCTTTAAATATGTGCTTAGTTTTTACAACATAGTTCACTTACATATAACGCATTCGTATCATAACCTTTCTTAAAAATCGTATATAGACAAATACACATAAGCACATGTATGTATATACACATGGTTACTTCCAGCGTTTATACATAAGTGACTAAGACGATGCCGAACAGCGCGCATTTCGTGCGAATGTCAATTTTATCAAACATCACACACCACTAATATTATAACCAATCAGCAACTTAATGTGAAATGATAATTTTTTACAAATTTTAATTATGTACTTACGATTAAAACAAAAAAAGCTGTTTTGCTGAAAAAATTGAGCTGTTCCGTCCGTGTCCGAGCGTGCGAAAATCACTAATGCAGTGCTGCAATATCAGCAAAATCAACCGTGCCATTTTTATCGAGCTATCGATATCAGCCAAATATTCGATAAAATCAAAAAATTAAAGGCTAGAGAAAGCAGCTGATATTCTATTATATATACTCTTAAAAATTATAAACATGGATTCAAATTTGAAGAATTTGAAATATCGGCAATTGCATAAAGTTATTTTAAAATTACGTCCTCTTGAACAATACTATGATAGTACCATGCATGAAAATAAATTAGAAACGCATAATGATGTACAAAAGGTAAATTATGGAATTTTCTTAAAAAATATTTAAACATTTAATATATTTCAGATTTGTGAAGGTTTTCTGAAGGCACTTAAAAACGATTTGAGTCTGGAGGAAATAACGTCGTTGTATTCAGCTGCAATTATGTTGTTACTTCTGGGTGATCACGAAATACAGAATCGACGCCTTGAACTACTGAACGATTGTTTAAATTATTCAGATACATTAAAGCCAACAATGATTGACTATATAACTCGGGAATTAATTGACAACTTTAAATATGCAGCCAGCCTTGCTGAAAGCAATACGGAATATGATTATATGCTTTATTTTCTATGGGCGATGCCGCATATAATAACAGCAAGCGAAACGGGGAAAATGATTTCACTAGGCCTTCTGCGTTCTTTTATAGCGGAACTGGCAAATTGGACTCCAATTGTGATGCACATATATAGAAATGTAAGTGCAGAAAAGAATCAATATATATACAATATTCAATGATTATTGAAATGAAAGATCTTAGAAGTCTGGACAATGATAAGGGCCGTAAACATGGAGACAATTTTGGGCGAATGGTCAGTGCAAAAGGTTTACACATTGTTGAAAAGCTTCAGCCTAATTTTGTCAACGGCTGCGCTTAACAACAAAAATTCAACTTTAAGGCAAGCTGGATACCGAGGCTTTGAATTGCCTCCAGCAGAGATAGAGAATGAAATATCCGAGTGGTTTAGAACGCTTAGAAACAAGCTGGAAGAGAAGCACAAATCAGATGGAAAGAAATCCAACTTAATGGTAGGCGCGATATTACATTATGATAAGAATTTAATTAACTTAGTCAATTTTTTAGTTGGTGCGCTTCATTGACTATAATATACTTTGCTTTTTATCAGAGGCGGGCAATGAAATCGCTTCAGAGGCTGGCAACGAAGTGTCTCATAAACGAATAAGTTTTTAACGAGTATAAAATTCATATATATATATTATTTATCATATACCATATATCATAGACAAACATTTTCGTTTTATTTCAAATTTATTTATTCTTTTTGCCGCTTTTCCGCAAGGGTACATCCTCGATAACCACGGCGCTGTTGTAATACTTGGAGGAGATTCGATTGATGAAATATAAGCCCACGAGGGAGAAAAAAATACTAAGATAAATATTATTAGTTTGCATTTAAATATCTAGGCGTTAATTATAAATTACCTGGTTGTTGCACAAACACGATGAACAACGCCGGCAGCACTTGCCGTCGTTGCTAAGCATAATAGTATTTCGGGTACAAGCTTGGCCTGAAAATCGGAACCAAAGACCAGCGTTTCTGCATTTGATACACAGGTGAGGCTCAATATAAACATCCACGAGAACATGTAGCCCCCAAACAAAATGTTAATTTGGGAATTATTGAACCAGTGGGCGTAGAAACGCAACGTTGCAAAAATTACCAAGCTCAGTATGCCTGATATAATAGCGGAGATAAGAGGGCTCTTGGTTGAAATAGACTTTGCTGCAAAACACATTTATTATTGTTTTTCATTTTACCGGAACTTTTGCAAGATTAACTTACACATCTTTAAGCTAGGAATTCAATTGTTTCATCCATTGAAAGGTGAAACTATCGATAAATACTTAAATGTGTTTTAAATGTGTTTTTTTAAATATCGATATTTATGTATCTTATTCACAAGACTCGAACTCTTATCGATAAATAGTTAAAGGCAGACTATTGTAAATAGCAGGAATTGCGTTGATAAATAAAATTATAATCTGATAGATGGCTTCATTATTGAAAGCTGCTACCAGTACGATTCGTGGTACGTTGTTGCAGGCGCGGGGTATTGCGACAAGCACACCATTACTAATAAAAGAAAGTAAGTATAATTCCATGCATACGGTGTGATGTTTCATAACCTTTCTGAAGGCTTGGAAATTAATATTTTTTGTATTTAAGTACACGAGAAATTAGAAAACAATGCACTGGTCTATGAGGGTGTAAATGTGGTGTCGCCACGTTCAGCAAAGATGTTAAAACCAGCCTGCACCACTACCTTTTGTCCAGAATGTACCCTGGGCCTGGACATTAAACATACGGATGTGCTTATTTTATCGCAATACGTCCGATCTGACGGCTGCATGCTGCCAAGACGGATAACTGGATTGTGCCACCGGCAGCAAAAGAAAATGGGCACGCTAGTTACTATGGCTCAGAAGGCTGGTCTTATGCCGAACCTTAATCCGTCCTGGAGCAAAAAGGATCCAAAGAAGCGGTTTGGTTGGCGCAAGTTTAACAAATACTTTTTAGAGTCAACGATTAAATACTGAAAGTTAGTTATAATACCAGAATAAATGTAAATGTTTTCCATTTTATTTGCTGTCATTTTTACATAATTATCGATAATAGTCGTGTGGCAAATATTTTGCTAATATTAGTATTCGGTCACATTGGTATTGGCATAGGCATTCTTTAAATTTTTCTATTTAACACGGCGCGTTTTTGTAAAACAATGAGCTTTTTAAGTAATAGCAACACGGTTCATGTTGAAGTACGCCTGCACCGTTGCGAGAAGTAAGTTTAATGATATGCAATAAAGTTTCTAGAAATATAGCTAAAACTCGTTTTTGCTTACAGACGAATGCAAACGCTTCAATCGGAAATCGAACCACAATTAGACGCGTACTTAAAATCACTAAAAACTTTGCGCTGGAATTTCGCTTTTAATGTGAACACCCACATTCCAGCTATTGAAAGTATACTTCTGGAGAAAGACAATGGCGAAAATGGAATTGTGAAGGTGGATAATAGATTAAAGTTTTGCTATCATTACTATATGACACAGCGCCCTGAGTTGCGATCTGGTGGCGGGTTGTTTGATGGCGAAGGTGATGTGAATACCGATAATGTGGACAACGTAATTTCCGCTCATCATGTGTTGCTGCCTGCCAGTGAGTTTGTTGGTCTTTGGGATAATTTAATATATGAGGAAGGACTGAAAGAAAAGGTGGGATCATATATATCACATATATATCTACTATTTTAAACATTATTTACTTCTCAGTTGCTTAAGTTCGCTCTGTCTGCCTTGAGTTTCTCCCAACATAACGTGGACACGAATGTGATCGCTTGTAATCGATTGCTGCTATTGCATGGTCCTCCTGGCACTGGTAAAACAAGTCTGTGCAAGGCACTTGCTCAAAAACTGGCTGTGAGGACACAAAATAGCTTTGCCTACACGCATCTTGTGGAGATTAATAGCCACAGCCTTTTCTCGAAGTGGTTCTCGGAAAGTGGCAAACTCGTTGCTCGTCTCTTTGGCAAAATATCTGAGCTTGTCGCGGACAAAAACAATTTGGTTTGCGTGCTCATTGATGAGGTGGAATCGCTGGCATATCAACGCAGTGCGATGAGCAGCAATGAGCCGCGTGATGCGATGCGAGTGGTTAATGCGGTGCTTACCCAGCTGGATGATATCAAGTCCTGTCCAAATGTGCTCATTTTAGCCACATCGAATTTACCTCATAGTATAGATCTGGCCTTCTTGGATCGTGCAGATATACGTCAGTATATAGGCTTGCCGGCTATAACAGCCATTGGCTCCATTTACAAGTCAATGCTAACAGAACTGATGGCCAGGGGCATTGTGCGAACAGAACACATGGAAAACAGTCAAGAGGACTCGGAGGATCTAATCAATGATCTGGCTGAGCGTAGTGTAGGATTAAGTGGTCGAACTTTACGTAAAATACCGCTTTTGGCACACGCTCATCACACGACTCGAGATCTCTTCGAAGTTAACCAAAAGATAACGCTGTCAGATTTCCTTGATGCAATGCTTCTAGCCTTGGAGCAGTTGCTGGCTGAGAAACGACTCCTAAAGCAAGAGGCATTTGTACAAGATATGTCATATCAAACATCAAGCTAGGCAAACGGTCCCAATCACAAGTTCATAAGTAAAACACAATGTATAATGATTCCTATAACATAAAGATACATAGCCTATCCTCTTGCTGTTTTAGCAGTACATTAACGATGCACTTTGTTTCATTTATTACGCTTTCAATGGCAATCAACTTCAATCTCATCATTCATAATAAGACAATGTGTAAAGTAAGCATTTTAATTAAAATTAAAGAAATTAATAATATAAATAATATATATCACAAAAATACTGATTAAGGCAGAGAATGATTGGGTTGGATATTTCCTATAAAAATTAGTTATAGTAGGATTTACAAAAATCACTCGTGCCACATGACTCGACATTTGAAAAAGAGCGTGCTATAATTTATGCGGCTTGTTATAGGACTCGGTTGTATGCCGACGAGCCCAGAGGCTGTATGACAAATTTTCGTTGTGATTATTTAGCTGCAAGCTGAATTGTGATTTGCGATACATTAGCATATTCATCTCGAATTGACGTCGCTCCGCTGCGCGTCTATCATATTCATTGTAGAGCTGCTGCAGAGATTCTGTAGGGCACTTTGATGATTGTTGTGATGGCAGATGCCTCAATTGCTCAGCTTTCACTTCGGCCTGTGGCTCCTCAATAGCCGTTGTGTTCGAGGCATTATTCGAATCTATTGACAAATCGTTGGAAGACGCATCTTTTTGATTGTGGTATTTTCTAATTAGGTCGTTGTAGGTACGTAACTTGTCCGACTTGGAAATATCTTGTTTGGCTTTACACGCCAAGGGTGTGGTTGAGTGAGCGCCAGCGATTACACGTGTTGGAGAGCATCTCAATTGGTATTTTTTGTCTTCATAATCTCCACTCGCTTCCCTATTTTGGGCGATTGTTTGCAACGCGTACGCCAAGTGATTTACTCGCTCTGTTAGCTGCAGAAAGTCTTCGGCCATGTGGCGAATCGTACTACCAAAGTGTTTATTGTCATCCTCCAGCACCGCTAAGCTGTGTCCAACCACATTGCGAGATATGAGATTGCCAACAATTTCCCTGAGATCTTCTATCTTCACGTACTTATTATCCGAGCTGGATTCAAGTAATGGATTCAGTAGCATTAATTCTTGTGCTACTTCTCGCATAAAGCTGGGTGTCCTAAAAAGCTGGGCTACCTCCCGACGCACGTCCTCATCGACTTTTGATGGCTCTCCAGTATAATTAATTAGAGTGTCCTCCTCATACATATCCCAAGTCGACTCGCTGTCCGAAAAGCGATTTTCGTACATTTTGTATAGAAAATTTTCATTTAACATTTAATTTGGGTTTGAAGTTTTTTAGAAACTTTCTAATAGATTGTATTGAATAATAAAATACAAAAATAAAATAATAATTGTGTGCTGTATTCAAAGACTACTGAGACAATTTTTTCGTTTCAATTTTAGTTCTTTATTTTATTATTGGCGGATATAAAAGATACGATTTTTGTATTGAAAAATAAAACATTACGAAATTTTGTAGAAAACCGTTTACACACAAATAAACATGGATGGATGTATAAATTCATAAATGTATATACTACATGCATCCATGTTATATGTGTGTATACCTGCATAATTTATATTCCTCGTGGATACTCTCTGGCCACTAGTGCTTCCGGAGCTCTCTGAACCGATTACAGCAAAACTATTCGAGCGTGGGCGATTCTGGACGAAGAAACGTCGACTGGGCGAAGCTGCGGACAATTCCATCACAACGCATAAACTGCTGTCGACTGCTTGAATCTGACAAAGTTAGGATATCAATCAGGTCTGCGACAATAATAATCATATAGCTTGGCAGAATCGAACGGAGCAGTAAACAAGTTAAGGATTATGATAGTGCAAAGTCTCGAGCTAGCTATAAACGAATATTTTGATTATATATAAGCTGAGTTTTATGAGAAAACAATTAAATAAAGTAAAATAATAACTTAACTACAGATATTTTACTTCATTTATTCACTTAACTCTTGAAATATAGCCCAAAAAGTAGATTAAGTTATATCAGTTCGGGGCATCAATTTTTTCAGGCGTTTTCCTATTGGCATACGGCTCTTGATTTATCTGTACAAATTCCCACCCACCCACAATTTCAAACGTAAACGCGTTTGTTCTAGGGCTTGTTGCAACGAGTATTATTATTGATTTGATTGTTTATGATTGTGTGTACTCGAATTTGGAGTACCGTAAAGTATTTGTAAATATTTTATTGCTCGGCTGTGCCTGCCTGTCTAGGGGTAGCCGGACAACAGTGCGTATGTGCAATATCTCGGCTGCGAATCCTTTGCATAAATTGCAAAATAAATGTGGCGTCCAGTTCAATGCAAGTTGAGAATTGAACACCAACAATTGATGGTTACGTTTATTTATGTTTTGTGTAGTCTGTGTATGTGGGTGCATGTGTGAGAAGGTTTGTGTGTGGTGCGTGAATGTGTCAGTGCTGGAAGCTATCGATAGCGAAAACGGGACAGATCAAGCAATAAAAAACTAAAAAAAAATAAGTTTAAAAAACAAATTTAAAATTCGTAGGGTCTAAAAATAACAACATATATTCAAAACTTTCCGATTTAACTCATGACAAAAACTGCACAAAATGTGTTTCTTATTATTTCTTATTATTTACTCAAATATTATATCATATTAATACTAATAATACTAATAATATATTATATCATATTAATACTAATAAACATCATTTAAAAACAAAAAAGTATTTATATCAATTAAGATATAAAGTATTTCTGGAGGAAATACATAAAGAAGCTAGATCTGTCCAGAAAAAGTCTGAATAGGCAGCACTGATGTGCGCATTATAGTTGTGATGCGTATGAGTTTGTGTGTGTGTATGTGTGTTTGTTTGTTTGTTTGTTTGTGTATGTGCGAAGCCTCTGTGAGCAGAGTTTTGCGATTGCATTTCAGCAATATGGAACTGCAAACTCGCATTGTTATTCTAGCAGCAATTGTTGAGGCTAAAGCATTTAAAGTGTGTGTACTTCTCTTTCTATCTTTTGTGCGTGAGTCTGTGTGTGTTATAGGAGCTGCGTAATTGTTCAATATTTATTGCTTGGATTTCTAAGCCTACAATTCGACAGTACCAAATGTTCTAAGCCGAATTACACTACCTTATATTTTTGCGTATGTTTGCCTGGAAATTATTCAGACTAATTAAGTTTTAAAACATGTCTACTGTAAGTAAACAATTTAATAACTATGCGATAAACCTATTCATATTTAAAATAAATGAAAAATATGTATATTCAGCACTTGACACATATCTTTTAATATTTAAATAGAGTAAAAAACATTTGAAAGTGTACTCAAATAAAATATTTAAAATAAGATATTTATTCTAAATAATTCACAACTTTTTATAATATAAAAAAGGGAATCATTTGCATTTTACATTTCAAAGTTGAAACTCTACAAGCTCTCTATGGCATAAAAAAGTAGAATGGGTAGTTAACATATGTAAAAAATTGAATTTCAAATATTTCGTGATTTTATTCTCTAGCTTCAATATCGGTGCCATGATTAGTGTTCACACAGACAAGCGTATGGACGGGGGGACAGCATTACGGGCATTGAATGTGGATTTATCTCCTCTAGTTAAATTATCTTCTGCAATATATTTTTTTTGTATGTTTGAACATTTAATTGTTGAGCTTGCAGTATATTTAAGCTTATTAAATAATTATTTTGAAGCTTTTATAAATTCAAAAATGGGAAAACTGATTTTATTTTTTTATGCTTATTTTCACAACTTTTTTGATTAATGAAACCGATGTTAAGCTTTTTATACCCTGATCCCATTGAAAATGGGAAATCAGGGTATAATGTTTTTGTGCAAATGTATGTAACAGGCAGAAGGAGGCGTGGCAGACCCCATATATATATTATTGATCAGGACGACAAGCCGAGTCGAGTGAGTGTTATCGAATAAAAACATGATAGAAATGCAGTTAATAAATTATATCTCGGACGTCTTAAGAGCTAGAGGCTCCAATTTTTGTACTTGGGTTTATGTATATTTTATGCAATCTTGGTTTTATGTAGAATTGTAGACCATATGCTGAAAATTTCATTAAAATCCATTACTGAAAAACTGAAGTTATTAAACAAAACGTTTGGCCAATTTGCAAAAGCACATGTTAGCAGCGCACCCTTTTTCCTATGCGTGTGCACACATACATTCAAATGCGTGTATTATTGTATATTCGAAAAATCGAAATTGCGATTGAATTGTGCTGAATTATTAGCTGCTACTTAACTTCAAATTTGCAACTCTTCTTACAAGCGGTGCAGTGGCTGCAGTTAATTTCTGGGTTCGAAACTCGCGGCGATGAGACATTTTTTATTGTTTTATTTATTCTTTTAATTATGAAGTGGCGGTGTTGGTAGAGTTGAGGCGCGTCGCGTAAAAATTAAGGGTTTGAATCTTGGTGTGGTGATGTCAGTTTTTATTTGTATTTTTTTAATATAAACTACGGAAAATATTAAAAAACACAGATAGGACTGGGATCAGGGTATCTCCTAGTCGGGCACCCCGACTAGAGTTTTCTTACTTGTTTTTTATGTATATAATATATTTTTTTATATGTATATTTAGCTTATCATGTTAAAGTTTCGTTCTGGTTTTCTCTCTGTCCAAACTTTCAGTTTAATTTTCATTTAATTTAAATTCCTGCGGCACGGTTCGCGCATTTTGTTCACTCTGTGGTTTATTTATAAATTTCTTGCTAACGGGCCTCAAGTTGTTTAGTATTTTTATACCATGGCCAAAGACTACGGCAAAAACTATATATATATATATATATATATATATATATATATATTATATATATTATATATATATTATATTTATATATATATATTTTTTTATTATATATATATATATATTTGAATAAAACTAATTTTGAAAGTTATAAAGCAAAAGTTGCCTAAATCTAGAAGCTTAAATTCATTTTATTTTAACTTCAAGCCCATGTTGATTTGTGGGACAGAAATTATGATTTAAATCATTGCTTATTGTAATTATGTGTCCGATTGGATACATGCCTTATTATTTTTTTTAAAACACAAACACAAATGCATATCAGACTATCAGTCCGTAAAAATCAGGGTAATAATGCAATAAGGCAACTTGCAATAATATCTTATAGATGAGCACAGTTGGCGTTAATTGAATTGAATTCGCAATGCCTCATTTATTGCATGGAAACGTATAACAAATTTTTGTTCCAATCAATGCGACAACGTCTGCAGAATTACTAAAGCTCTTAAGCACACTTTATTCCATAAGAATGAAAAGCAAATTAAAAGATGTTCCATCTTGAAAAAATAACACGTATTCAAATGCATTTGAAATCAATTGGAATGTTTTAATTTATATGGAAGCATACATTTCATTTTACAAGAGAACGATTAAGTGTGGAAAAATGTTTAGTTTGTTAAGTATTTTTGAGGAGCTGTATGCAAGTTTCTTGCAAATTGAGATCAAATGAAAAACGGAGAGAGAGAGAGATGCTTATAAGCTGATGAAAAAATGGGTTGTTAACACTTAAAGACCTACATAACAAGTTTTTAACTTTTAAGTTGAAATCAGCTTAGTTCTTACTTTTGGTTCACTGCCAGTGTAATATGACTTTACAATTTAAGCTGACTTAAGGAAATATGCACAATAGTCATACGCCATATGTATGTGTGTGGGTTGGTTATTTATGCTGAAAACGTGACTGGAAATATGAAATGCAGCAAATGTGTTTACTCAAATGAAGTAAGTGAGAATTGACAAATGCAGTCATGGCGAATGGGAGGAGGAAACATGCCTTGAAGTTGCCTTAGCAGTGGGTCAAGCTGACGAGCTTAAGGCATATGAAATGTGCTCCAAAAATGTCACAGTATATATAGACATATAGTGTACGTATAAATATATATAAACATATATACATTTGTGCTTTGTACACACTCGTATGTCAAATTCAATAAGTGTGTGAGAAAATGACGTGCAGCTAGTGCGGCGCCAAGGATTCGAGTCGACTCGACTCGACTCAACTCGACTCGACTCGGTACGACTCGACTTTACAATATATATTGGCTCACTAGGCTGCCAGCAATCTGCAGACGCTCACTTCACTGACCTTATAAAAAAGTACGATTTTTCTTCATTTGATGAAATGAAATACAATTTCTCAAACACCAACAAGATGAAGCGAAAAAAAGTTTGGTTGCAATTGCAATTTTCTTGGCGCACAATGCGCGTTCCCGTTACCAGTTGCCAGTTGCCAGTTGCCTGAATATTGACGTTTTTATAAGTCAATATTTCTTTGGATTACAGCAGTAATAGTGCATCGCATCGAGCAGCCAGCATTATAAAACGCAACTGCTTACTGATTTGGGCCACCAAAAAACTTTGGCCATACATATTTAAAGTTTTTGTATCCCAAATTAATTTATTCGTCCAATACGTCTATAAACATGAGTATCATGAAAGTTTGCTCTTTCTCTGGCATTGTTGCTATTTGAATTAAATGTTGTTTGCTTTTCACGAATCTCTTAGAGATGAGGCACAATGCAACACGAACACGAGCGAACACCATTGAGCGAGCTGAATAATTCTAGCTATTTTGAATAAATAAAAAATAGTTGCATAAATTCAATTATTCTTGATAAATCATTTTACAAACGTGTAGCTTTTTAATATGTTAGATATTTGATGTGGAATGTGTAAGATATTTCAATACTGATAATAATCAATTAAAAAATTATAAAATAATAAAAATAATTGTGTCATTACTTCAACGATTGTTGAGTGCTGACAAAATAATAAATAATACATATACTTTTTTCCGCAGATACTTATTTCTATATATATATGTGCATGAATATATTCGCATAAATTGATGTATATTCAAGCAAGCTATAAATAAACAGTAGACGATTAACCCATGTCAGATTTAATATTATTAGTACTCAACTGTTTTTGCAATTGGTTATGCAGCCATCTAGGCTTTCTAGTCAAAATGAGATTGACATTAAAACTAATGCTACTGTAAATGCTTGTCTGTCGAATACTTTTTTGCAGAGAAGTATAATTTTTAGATACGAATTCGGAGTAACATTTTTATAGGGTCCTTAAGCCAACATACAACAAGTTGGCTGCAAATGTAAATACTCTATAAAATATATTTTAGTATCTCGGTTAAACTCACTCGACAGCATGTTGTTAAAGGCTTACGATTAAAAGCCAACTCAAGAGTACACCTGGCCAACTGCTGCTGCCACTTGCCGCTCGCAATCACTTTGATTAATAGCGGTTTGCCATCGAATGGAAAGGCGCTTGTAGCTTGCCTCCCAATGGACAGCCAAGTGGGGTTTTGGGGTTGGGCAAAAGTTTTTACAACTTTGCAAATGAAAACTGCAAATACAAATGAAATTAGTCGAAACTATTTGGCCATGCGCCGTGCTGCATAATGGCAGGGGAATCACTGAAGCCAAGTTCGTGACGCGCGTATTTCTAATTAGATTAGGGCAGCCTACCAGCCAGTCAGCCAGTCAACCAGTCAACCAGTCAACCAGTCAGCCACGCCCACTTGTCCGAGTAGTCCGCTGAGCATTGTGAACGTTGTGATTGCCATTTGGTTGTGCGAGCATCGTGTCGTATTCTTGTTCTTGCCACTTTTTACAAAATTTTTAATTGAAAAAATTCTTCAATTTTGCCATCTATCTAACTGAGTGGACCCCACCCTACAGCTCAAGTCAGACAGCCGTAGAAATGTAATTAGCCACGTTCAGAGGCTTCACTTTTTTCAGTTTTTCTGTTTCCTTCTCGTTTCCACTCAGTTGAACGTTATGTCAACTTTTCAATTTTACAGTCATAAAAATGCAATTTGCCAGCCAATTTTACAATTTATTTTAAGTGTTGCATAAGCTCAGGCGCCGCGCCTAAATGCCACTGGGCTCCCTATCTGTGTGTGTGTGCGAGTATGATTACAACAAGTTTAATTAAAACGGCGGCAAATGCTTAATGAAGGACTGCGCAAACGATGCGATGACCAATCGCTAAGCACCACTGCGCTAATTTTAGCTCAAAATAAAAGATTTGTCTTGCATTTCCCGCGCGTTCTGCCCTAACGAAATGACGTTAATTAATCATAGCCTTTGTGGTTGTTTGGCTCCGTCTACAGTCAGCTCTACCTTCTTCCATCTCTTTCCTTTGTCATTGTACAGTGGGTGGTATACATGATTGTATGAGAAATTTATTACTTACAACTAGATTGAACTGCATGTAAAAGAAAAAATAAATAAATGCATTAACTATTCAAATTGGAGTTTCTTAAGGTAGAATGAAACCAATCAAAGCAGCAAATAAAGCAGCAGGAAAAAAAGTGTTTTATTTTCTAAAAGCTCATAATTATGTAAAAATAAAATTGATTTAATCTCAATCATCAACCGACTACAGTGCAGAATTGGCGCTTTGCCCAAGTCAAAGCACAATCAGTGTTGGATTTTCTCTACTCATTATGACGGAAGGACGCAGTTTTCCTTAGTTTTTCTTTTTATAATCGATACCTCTTACGATGCCGTCGAGCTGTCTGGTTAATTAAATTAGAAGCTGCAACTGTAGGAGAGTTGCCGTAAGTGATTGCCATTCCATGACTCGACCATTTCCGTAACCACAATCACATTCGCGTATGTTTTGTCACTTGCACATGCTGCTTGCTACGTAAGTCCATACTAACGGACAATGACAAAAAGCTTACGCTTATGTCATTCCACCTAATTACAGTCTGCATATTCATTCTACTCGGCGTACATGGTGCGCACCAGAGCAAAAAACTTGTAAGACAACTGCAGCAGCTGCAAAAGATATTAACGTCAGCAGTAGTAGGTATCGTTTGGATTAACTTACATCCGTTACAGTAACCAGCGACACTTCTAAAAAGTTGGTAGCTTTTAGGTAATTGGGACGCTGGGCTCGTTGCATGATCATCAGCATTAGTTTGCGATAGCGCAAGTCACCCAGGTACCAATTATGATTGTAAACCGCTTCACCGACGAGGTCACTCTGCAAATTGAAACCATTTAATATTCTGTCAATATCTTTTCAAATTACTCACCGAATTGACCAAGCTCTGTGCGTAGTTACCAATCATAAAGACCTGTACCATGGCACACAGCAGAAAGAGCATCAGCATGACCATGTTGTCGAGGTTGCCGCCGATGGTCATCTGAAAGATGACAAAGCAGATGATGAATATGGAGCTGGTAAAGTTGCAAAACAGTGAAACACCAAAGATCTGATTGACATCTTTGGTAAGACCCAGTAGCCGCTGATGGTAAACGATGCTGGTCTGAAGAAACCCCAGATCCTGGTTGGCAGGCAATACGCCCGCCACATGCTGCTCGATCTGTTCACTGAGTCTCTTGAAGTGCATAATCAGCAGCGTGACTAAAGCACACATGAACATGTCCGCCGCCAGCTGTCCAGAGAGGCAGGTCTGGCCGGCAATATTTTGTGAGATGTACAAAACATAGTAGCTCCAATTGCCTTTCCAATCCCACGGTGTCCAGCAGAAGTAAGGCAACATTTGCTCAAAATGTCGTACATCGAGCCAGAAATCGTAGATCAAGTAGTAGACGGCCCAGTACAGATTGTATGTCCAGATCAGTATCAAATGCATGCCAAAATAGAAGATGCTAACGCGTCTATAGCTGCACAGATAGTCATTCAACTTGTATTCCTTTTGTTTCTCAGCGGTTTTCGGATGCAGTAGCTCGAAGCACTGGACAACTTTAGTGATGTGCCTCCGCTTACTCCAGATGTGACGAATTTTTAAATCACCGATTATGACAAATCCAATGAAAGATAAGTTCATGGTGGCTTCCAGGAAATTGTTGCCACTACTAAACGCCAGGAATACGTAGATAATTTCCGAAAGCAGCACTACATTCAGATTTAGCATCTGAAAAATAAAATAACAGCGCAAAACGGTTCTGTGCCCATCTGGTTTACTTGTATTAGGAGAGTCGCGATCGTAAGCTTTCATGCCAATGGATAAGTAAAAGAAGTCAACAAAACGAAAAAACGTATACAATGATTTCGCTTTTCCGTCTTTTGGTTCCTTGGGGCGCTTCCTTAATTCGAAGAACATTTCTGTTTCGGTCCTTGTTTACTGCTACATGTGAGTTCTTCAGATTGATGCGCTTTTATAAAGCCGTCGACCATTTGATAATTGCTAGTTAAAGCAATGTCACACCCACTTGATTAACGTGCACTGAAATCTCTCAATTATCATACCCCTGTGAACAGTAACAGTTGTCTCAAGTCACGTGGGCGTACACAAGTGCGCCTAATTCGAAATAAATGCGCCTCAGCAAATCGATGATATCCTCAATTAGCCAAACAGACGACGACATTAGTCGCGGTCACAAATATCAGGGTTGAGTGGGAGTGAATAACTTGGTCAGCGACAGATAGCAATAATGTGTGGCAATATATCTGTATCTGTATCTGTATTTGTGTATCTGTGTGTAATTGTGAGTATTCGTTTATTTGCACTTAATATATATTACATAATCAAGTAAGTAAAAGGTAGAGCATTATGCTTGCGGTACGGCCGTATCGATCCATCATTATAGTTGTTGCGAAGGAACTAACTAGGTTCCAGACTGTCTCAGACTCCAGCATGGTGTTAACAACGTTGTCCACTCTGATGGTTCGGCCTAGTTTTTCCTCGAGACTCAGCCTCTCCTCCAGAAACCGTCTGCACTCGAATGTTATGTGGTTGGCGTCTTCCACTATCCCTCTTCCGCACCAGGAACACTCGTCAGTAGCCTCATGGCCAAACCTCTTCAGATAGCTGCCGAAGCATCCATGGCCAGAAAGAATCTGTGAAGGATACAAATTCGTATTACCATGGCTACGGTCGATCCACGGTTCCAATTCCGGGATGGGTGTGTGTGCCCAGAGGTTCTTCGTTGAATTGCTCCACTTTAGTTGCCATCGAGCGATGCTATTGAGTCGGTCGAGCTTCTGGATTGTGCTCTGGTATTTCGCTATGCGGCCTCCGTGACCAGGACTTCTAGAGGAACCATTCCTGCTGTGACGAGCGTCGCTTCTTCGGAGACTGTTCTGAAGGCGCAGCTGACTCGAATTGCGCTCAGACGGTATGTGGCGCAAATACATTGGCAGGAACTGGGAGTTTTCATTGCTCTCGACCAGATTGGCACTAAGTAAAGGAACCTTATGACTCTCAGCAAGAGAAGGCGCCGTTGTTGTCGCATTTCATAGGAGAGGCCCCAGTACTGACCCTTGGGGAGACTCCGGCAGAGTCCTCAGCGCCTTAATAGCCCTTAATAATTTCTCTGAGATATATTGTATTGAGCCAGCGCATCGAGTATCATATCCCAGTTGGCTGTGTTGAACGCATTTTTTACATCCAGAGTCGCTATGATGCAGGTGGTGCTTCGCGCCATGCTTCCATCTGGTACCTTCGATAGCTGAAGTTTCAATGTCCACGACTTTGCCCAAGGCGTCCGTTGTTGATCTGGCCTTTCTGATTGGTCTGAAGAAAGGCCACCTAGAGCAAAGAAGCTTCTTGAACAACTTTCCTTTCCTTTGCCTGTAGGACGATGGCTCTTTCGTCGGTTTGCCAGCCTTGGGTAGCAGAACTAGGTTCTGGATGGCCTCCGAAAAAGCTATCGGATCAAAGGTATCCAGGCGGTAAGACTCCCGAAGCAAAGATAGTGGCCTGGCAAGTGGCTCTCCGATTGTGAAGCATAGAGCCAAATTATCGCTGCCTGTTTAGCTGTCATAGATGCACCAACTTGCCTCCCCAAACAGCGATGAGGAGACAAATACGATGTCAACTATAGAACCGCAACTAGCCCGGCTGAAAGTGAATTGGTTTCCTGTGTTGAGCAGAGCCAAGTCCAGAGTCGCGCAGGATTCCAGAAGACTTCGACCTTTGGCTACCCCATTCCATCGCCCATGCGTTGAAGTCTCCTGCTATAATGACCCGTCGTCCCCTTGCATCCTTTACGAGCTCATCAAGCACTGCTACGAATTCAATGAGCTGCAAGCTGGGTGCCAGGTAGCAGCTGTACACCACAGGCTGTCAATTGAGCGCGTACGAGCCCTGCATATCTACAGCGTGGCTTTACCTCTCGTATCTGTGGCCCATTTTCTTGGTCAGCTGGACATATGGTGGCGCGGCTCACTGAGAATAGCAACGTCTATTCGTTTTTCTCTTACATTCTGTACAAGTAGATCCTGTGCAGCTACGCAGTGATTCAGATTGAGCTGTAGAAGCCTGAGCTGCTTGCTGCGTGGTCAGTTGGCTTGACGCCTTTTCGGACGCAGAGGCCACACTTTGGTGGCTTGACGCAAGTTTTCGATATGTGGCCCATCTTTAATCGCTGGTGCATTAACCGCGGTATGGCCATAGTCCATGCACTTAAAGCATGCACTTAAAGCATCCAATCCGCACTTTCGAAAGCTCGAGAAGGTCTCTGGCCTTACCGACAGGGAGCACGACAGTAGCTCTCTGCTGACCACCGAAGGCTGGCCGGAGCGATTTGATTGCATCCTTGCGTCCCTTAACTACAGTTTAACTATTCGTCTGAATCCCATCTTGTTTGGAGTTAGAAGTGGTACCCTGTTGAGCCGTTGGCTTTGCAACTCACACTACTACTGCTTTGCTGTGTTTAGGCTTTTTTGAGGGTGATTTCCTTTGCTCAGGAGCAACGTCCCTCGAGCGTTTGGGGGTGTTGCTGTTGCCTCCTAAGACAGCCACACTTTTTTTTGCTTTAGTTACCTTCGTAGGCTCGCCCGTCCGCGGTGTAGTCTGCACCTCGCATTTTTTAACTCTGCGGTTGCAAAATGACTCGGCCGTCTTATGGAGATTGACCAGCCCAGCTAGTTCTTCCCTCATTAGAGCATTTATTTGGCGTTGGCCCCCGAATAGTGCCGTCAGGCCCTCTAGAAAAGCTCTGTTATAGCGCCTTTTTCATCGTCGTTGGCACTTCTCTCTCAGCCGTGGGAGTTTGTTCAATTCTAGCAAGCTGCTGCAGCACCACCTGTTGTTGTGGTGGTTACCGCTGCAGCGTAGAGCGTCTTGCAATGGCGTGAAGCCTGTAGCGGCTCTACGGCTTCAAGTTCGGTCCAGGCGTTTGGTTGTTGTCTTTGCTAAGTTTTGCCAACTCACCAGAGTGTGGTGAACAGCTGTTTGATCGTTGCAGTTTACAACACTACTAACAGATGTTAGAGTGAGTGCACCTCCTGCTGCTTGTTGCTTAAGCGTGCTGGCTAGGCTTTTTTACACTATGCGTATTTGTCGCGCAACGATAATCTGCTCGCCTTTTGTTTTTGGGTGAGTCTTACCCTCAGCTCGAACATTTATTAATTATACTATTTCACAGTGAAAAAGCAGAGCTTGTATGAAGTTTTCGATGGATCCTTTTGCAAACGCGTCCGAACTCCATCCCAATGTGTGTATCTGTGTGTATCTGTGTGTGTGCTGCCCGCTACGTATGTCTATACTAACGGACAATGACAGTCTGTACATTCATTCTACTGGGCGTACATGGTGCGCACCAGAGCAAAAACCTTGTAAGACAACTGCAGCAGCTGCAAAAGATATTAACGTAAGCAGTAGTATGTATTGTTTGGATTAACTTACTTCCGTTACAGTAACCAGCGACACTTCTAAAAAGTTGGTAGCTTTTAGGTAATTGGGACGCTGGGCTCGTTGCATGATCATCAGCATTAGTTTGCGATAGCGCAAGTCACCCAGGTACCAATTATGATTGTAAACCGCTTCACCGACGAGGTCACTCTGCAAATTGAAACCATTTAATATTCTGTCAATATCTTTTCAAATTACTCACCGAATTGACCAAGCTCTGTGCGTAGTTACCAATCATAAAGACCTGTACCATGGCACACAGCAGAAAGAGCATCAGCATGACCATGTTGTCGAGGTTGCCGCCGATGGTCATCTGAAAGATGACAAAGCAGATGATGAATATGGAGCTGGTAAAGTTGCAAAACAGTGAAACACCAAAGATCTGATTGACATCTTTGGTAAGACCCAGTAGCCGCTGATGGTAAACGATGCTGGTCTGAAGAAACCCCAGATCCTGGTTGGCAGGCAATACGCCCGCCACATGCTGCTCGATCTGTTCACTGAGTCTCTTGAAGTGCATAATCAGCAGCGTGACTAAAGCACACATGAACATGTCCGCCGCCAGCTGTCCAGAGAGGCAGGTCTGGCCGGCAATATTTTGTGAGATGTACAAAACATAGTAGCTCCAATTGCCTTTCCAATCCCACGGTGTCCAGCAGAAGTAAGGCAACATTTGCTCAAAATGTCGTACATCGAGCCAGAAATCGTAGATCAAGTAGTAGACGGCCCAGTACAGATTGTATGTCCAGATCAGTATCAAATGCATGCCAAAATAGAAGATGCTAACCCGTCTATAGCTGCACAGATAGTCATCCAACTTGTATTTCTTTTGTTGCTCAGCGGTTTTCGGGTGCAGTAGCTCGAAGCACTGGACAACTTTAGTGATGTGCCTCCGCTTACTCCAGATGTGACGAATTTTTAAATCACCGATTATGACAAATCCAATGAAAGATAAGTTCATGGTGGCTTCCAGGAAATTGTTGCCACTACTAAACGCCAGGAATACGTAGATAATTTCCGAAAGCAGCACTACATTCAGATTTAGCATCTGAAAAATAAAATAACAGCGTAATACGGTTCTGTGCCCATCTGGTTTACTTGTATTAGAAGAGTCGCGATCGTAAGCTTTCATGCCAATGGATAAGTAAAAGAAGTCAACAAAACGAAAAAACGTATACAATGATTTCGCTTTTCCGTCTTTTGGTTCCTTGGGGCGCTTCCTTAATTCGAAGAACATTTCTGTTTCGGTCCTTGTTTACTGCTACTTGTGAGTTCCTCAAAGTGATGCGCTTTTATAGAGCCTTCGACCATTTCATAATTGATAGTTAAAGCAATGTCACGATTAACGTGCACCGAAATCTCTCAATTATCATGCCCCTGTGAACAGTAACAGTTGTCTCAGGTCATGTGGGCGTACACAAGTGCGCGTAACTCGAAATAATATAATATATATAATATCCTCAATTAGGTAAGCAGACGACGACATTAGTCGCGGTCACAAATATCAATGATGAATGGGAGCGAATAACTTGGTCAGCGACAAATAGCTCGATTATTTTATAACCTATCTGTATCTGTATCTGTATCTGTATCTGTATCTGTATCTGTATCTGTATCTGTATCTGTATATGTATCTGTTGCTGTATCTGTATCTGTATCTGTATCTGTATCTGTATCTGTATTTGATTTTTTTAAATAGTATTCCCTTTTTATTTCCATCTTCTTAACATTTAGCAGCAGACTTTTTATTAGGTCAGCTCTGTCAAGTTGAGACATGCTGCGCACTGGCTAAGACCTTTCCATTTGGTTTTTTATTGCATCTAAGGTTTATTTCCTGAGTCGAGCAACAAGAAAGACTTTGAGTAACAGCATTGTTCTGTCAGTTATCTGAGTATCTGTTTGTGTAGTTGCTGTGTGACAGCATTAAATTTGACTTGCCTTGGCACACAATTGTATCTTACTGATACTCTCAACGTGTGCCTTCATCTGCACCTCGTTCCAAAGCCAAATCCAAAGCCTGTTACGTTCAGCTTGGTTTTTTGTGCTCAACTACAACTATCCATATTTGTTTCAGGCAAGTGACAGTCATATGAGCTGGCTGCTATTTGCTGTATGTAACAGTCTCTTGCCTTGACACTTTTGCCTCTACACTCTGCATCCATTAAAAGGTTAAATGCGAGAAGAAACGTTTTCTTAGCTTAAGCTCTAGAGATTTTAAATATGTTTTATGTAGTTTTGAATGAAATGAGCATTTGTTTGCCCTAAGTAGGCATCATCTGTCTATGAACATATTAATATCGTTAAGGCATCGTAGTATGTTCGCCAGACCCTTCAGAAAGGGGTTTGTCAAAACTATGTTGATCATATGCTTAAAATTTAAATCCGTTAAGTAACGCAGAAGGTATTAAACAAAGCGTTATCAAGCATGTACGCATTTTTCCTATACGCGTGCACAAATACATTCAAATGCGTATATTCTTTTCTATTCGAAGATTCGAAATTGCGATTGAATTGTGCTTGAATTGTCAGCTGCTACTTTAGATGAGATTTGCATCGTCTCGCGTAAGTTGTGTTGGTGGAGGCTGCGCTTGTTTTCGAGAAGTTTTGTGTTCAATGTCGGGTGATCTTTTTTTTAAATGTGGAGCCTCGAAGATGGTAGATTCATGAATGCCTTTTTTAATGTTTGATACCAGCTGTGCAAAATATAAAAAAAAACGTGTGCTTAGGGTATCTCCTAGTCGGGCAGCCCGACTAGAGTTTTTTATTTGTTTGTCTTTGTTTAGACTAGATAATCAATATCTTGGAGTGGATTAATAATGTCATATGATATATGTACATATTTTCAGTCTATTTTGTTTCCCCATTAAATCACTTCACGGCTTTGAAAAATAAAAATAAAAGTTATTTCAGTAAATATGTATCTCTATGTCTCGGGAAAGTCGACCTCATTTTATGGTCTTCATAAAATAATTTACATATCCATTTGAAATGCTTATTTAAATGCCAGCGAGTATGTGGATAATGCACATTTATTAGAGCGTCGTTAATGAAGTGCATTTGTATTTATATTACCGCATTGTCATGTCAGATTTATTTTCATATGCAATTAGCGTTTTATATTCATTTCAGGACGTGCCATTTCTCATTTCTCGTTTCTCATTTCTCATTTTCCATGCGTCGGCGTTCTGCTTTAAATGGGCTTTTGATGTTAAACCAAGGTTAATTAATCAAAATGTTTGTCCTGCCCTGGAAACTATCTAGATAATTGCTGCCAACACGGCAATTTGCTAACGCTTTAAAGTTTCGCATTAACAGATTTATTAAGAATGTTATAATTGCGTAGGAAGTTTCAATAATTGATACAGATAAATATAAATGAATAGCACACAAATGTATGCCTTGGTTGAGCAGCAAATGGGAGCATAATGGGCAGTTCTAGGGTGTCTCCGCATTTATCTGTCTTAACAGGGTTCTACTTGGTCTTGCGAGCATAATTTTGTATATAGTTATACTTGGAGTTCAAGTAAGAGTTGTGAAGTATATAGGAAATTAATTAACTCTTCTATTATTTTATTAGAATATATTATCATAGTTTTATCGGACTGAAGCTGCTTTGAAAATATATAGATATAGATATCAATGATAAAATCTTCATTAACAATTCAAATTTTTGTTTAAATAACGACCTACCGGACATGATGATTAATTAATTTTTGTTCATTCATTGATTACAATTTAGCTACAAAAATCACCTCAGCAATGAGCTAATAAAGCGATATTTTTTTAAATACTTATTTTATGCAGTTTTCAATAATAAGTGAATAAGAATCACGCTTCGAGCTGGATCTTGGTCAAGATACGAATGGCGAGACCTACTTACAACAGACTATTGCCATCTTCCACAAAAACAAAGCAATTACCCATAAACCTTTATTTCATGTATTTGCGAAAACCTACAAAAGCAAACACACACATATACAGCTATATACATATGTATATATGAATGTGTGCAGACACGAGTATGACCATGTGCCTTGTTTCACAGTATTATCAAAAACATTTTCACAAAATTATGACAGAAGGCGGGGCGGGTGACGTCCGAGGCAAGGGTACGGAAATATGCTTGTTTTGGCTGCTGGCAATTTTGAATGTATGCCAAATATTGTTGTTGTTCTTGTTGCTGTTGCTTTTGCTGTAATTGATACACCAAACAGTGAAATGTGCAATGATAACGCCGCAGTGTCTGTGCTTGTGCCACATTTTCGGCAATTGCACATACATGCATAGCAAATGTGGGAAAGTATTGGTGCTCGGCCCCTCCTATCTGGGATGGGCCACATTCAGCTGGCATTGAGCCATTTTTGTGGCTGCGGCTATTGTTGTCTTTAAGCTGCCTATGTAGTCTTTAATTAACTGGAAAAGATCAAGGCTTGCTCAACCTTTTAATTTCTTTATAAAATAAATGAATCATCACGGCTGTCAAGCTTAGTCTCTTGGCAAGTCAACAGTTTTATATTAAGAATATCAAACTCTGAAATAATATCTATTTAAAAATAAGCCTTTTTGTTTATTTTTATATATATTTTAGTTCTTAATTGTTAAATAATTAATGCACAAATTTTGCAAGGCGTGTGTCAAAAGATTATTACTAACCTACAATTAACAAGGCTAACAGCCAAAAAGCTAGCAGATTAAGCCGGTTTTTTATAACGAAGTCTGCTGATGATAAAACCGACGTTTTGCAATCAACTATTATATTACCCCAAGCTTGCAAAGCTTATAAAAGTTAAAATATAATAGAAAGGATGTAAAAACTATTTGCAATTTATAAAGTTAAGGAAAAGTGGAAAGCTGTTTAGCTGCATAAATTGTTCATCCATAAAATTAAAATTAAAAATTAAAAGAAAATTTTAATTGGTTATTATTAAACAATTATTAAGTACTTATTTAAAGCAGATTGCAAAATATTTTTCGCCTGATTGCAATATTCGAAGTTATATCAAATTATTTAATTTTTAATTTATTGACATAACATTTAAACTACATATTTATTAAATAGAAATATAATAGCACAGAATGGTCAAAGTGCTTGTAATTAATATATAATTATTTTTTATTTGTGGTTTGAATTTGGAACAATAACAAAAAAGAAACATTTCAACTATTTGAACACGCAATGGCAAACTTGTTGGAGGTGATTTGCGATCGAGGAAAAACTGTTGCATACATTGTGGCAGGCATGTCTGTTGTTTTCCCTAGTTGATTTGCGTCGCTTATTGCATAATTGCAATTGAAAACATACTTTTGTGGCGTGCATCCAACTTTAAGAACACACATATATACACACTCTGAAGCTCTTACTCTCATACCCGCTCATATGCACATTTATATCACAGACCTATAATTGGCGCAGTGTTTTTTCTGCATAAGAGTCGGCAACACCTGCATAAAGTCTGATTTAACAGTTTGTACACGAACACGAAACCCATTTGCAAGTTTTGCCATGAGGGGCGTCGCAATGTTTTTTCAACGCGAAAAGAGCACAAGCCAAAGTTTCGCATTCGCAGTTTCTTGGCATTTTACGTGGCGCAAAAAAGAGCCAGTAAGCTGTTTGCACCCAATTTTAAATGCATTTTTCTGGTACTTTACTAATTTTGTTAATATTCGCAATATGTTAGCAGATGTTGGGCAGTAGAGAGAGAAATATAGAGAGGAGAGCTGCTTTTGATTTTTTGATAAGCCGCCTATCAGGCCTATCCCCTGACCTATCTGACCTACCTCTGACCGACCTCTACAGCAAAGCTTCTAAAAGGTAGCCTAGGCTTTGATACCCCATCACCATTTTCATGCATACATAAAAAAATGAAATTTTCGAAATTTTTAGAACGTGAATTAAAATATTAATATTTGCCAAAGGCTCAACTAACTTGTTAATATAGATATCTATGATTTGAGCCAGTTTGATGTACGCTTCGTTGATACAGGAACATTTTTGTATTTCTGATCAAAAGATCAAAACATGCGATAAAGTTATGCAATATTGTGAATGTAAACACGCATCAGAAAAGTATAAAATAATACTCTAAATTTATACCTATGTATAAACTTTTGCGGTTGACAGCAGATTTGTGTATCTGATATTTTGTTATATCGATGAGAAAATTGTAGTCCATTTAATAAGCAAAAATAAACAAGTAATTTATTATATGAAGTATGGTAAATCGAAAAAGGCTGTATCTTTTACAATACTGGCCTTACCATACTATAGACCCCTTCTAATGATTGAGAGCCTATTGGGAGCAGTTTTACAGTTACACAATAATATTAACAACTATTAGCTTCTCTTGCGGCTTACAAAAAAGGCCATGTGAAAGCCTCTTGGGGCCATATAAAATCCACGAAAACTCCAGACTCCTACTTGAGATTGATCAAAAATGATATATGCACCGCCGACTAAGGCTATATATATATTTTAGAGTTTTCGTGTTAAAATCGTATTATTGCAGGAGGAGCCACTGA